GCCTGGGGTGCTGGAGCTGGGCAAAGAGGGGGTGGTGGGGGTAGGCAGATTGGGGTGGCTTGGTGGGCTGGGGGCATTGTTGGACGGCCCGGAGGAGGACGAAAGCTTGGCTTGTGCCTGCTGCTGCTGAGACTGTGGGGGGTGCTGCTGCACCGCACTGCTGAAGCTTCCCAGGAGGCCACCACCCCCAGAGACTGCTGTTGTGCCACCACCAACAACAGTAGCCATGGATACGAGGGAGGAGGAGGAGGAAAACCCTGAGGAGGTGGATGAGGAGAAAGAGGAGAGAGAAGGATTGCCGTTCTTCACAGGAGACTGGGGAGGGAAGATGCGAGAGAGAAGCAAAAGAAGAGTAAGTGCATGGTGAAAAACTACACATTTACATTACTAATGTCGTTAATAGTGTCCGGGTCCTACCTGACTCACTTCGCTGTCTGTAGATCGCCCTCTCTTTTTCTCCTCTTCCGAGTTCTCCTAACCGAAACATAGGTATGCACGCAGAGGCACGCATACAAAAAACAAGTCAAACTGTGCATTTCCAAAGTTATTAATTAAATGTATGATGTATGACTTATTGTGTGTTTCCAATATCCAAAAAAGCAAAATAAAAACTACAATTACACAAATATTTTTAAAAGATTTCATTTTCTGTTCAAGATTCTGGAATTATCGCTGGAAGGAAGGAGGGAAAAAAGAAATAGGAGGCAGAGAGGCTTACGGTGGTGCCCGTGGCAGGAGACGGAGGGATGGGCGAAGACGAGGTGGTGGAGGTGGGAGTGCTGCTGGACTGGAGAAACATCTCCTCATCGTTGTGTCCCTGCGGAGAGGTGGCCATCAGAGACGGCGCTAGAGAGAGAAAGGGAAGGTGTAGTGTTCAATTACACATGGCTCAGAAAGCCTTTTCCAAGTTCAGATAAAATCACACAAATTCAACAGTGGTTTTCAGCCAAGGTTCTGATACACCCTTACTCAGCGGTGCCCAATCCTGGTCCTGGAGATCTACCACCCTGGAGAGTTCAGATATAACACACCTGACTCTAATACTCACATGCCCCTGAAGGCCTTCATTACCTGAATCAGGTGTGTTTGATTAGGGCTGGAGCTAAACTGTGCAGGGTGGTAGATTTTCAGGACCAGGACTGAAAACCCCTGCCCAACTCCACCGCGCAAAGACTTACGTATGTCCTCCAAGTCCAGATCATCATAGATGAACTCATTCTCCTCAAAATCAGGGTCCTGCGAAGAGTCGATGTAGTATTCTACATCATCTTTGATCTTATGGATGGCCTCCACCTGCACAGAATCGTTGTCCAGCATCCTCAGGATGGTCTCCAGCATGCGAATGTGGTAGCGGTGTCTCTCAATCAACCTTTTCAGCTCCTCAATACGATCCTGCTTCTGAACACACGTAGACACACGCTTCATACTTAATATAATGCCTGAGCCTGAATTTCTTGACAGATCTGGAGGCCATACTGTGGTATTATCTCAAACTTCAAGCTTATAATGACAATGCAGCAACATGTTTTGAACACTATTTTTTAAAAATATTATCAGCCATTCAATGTGCCATAAGCAACTGCATTAATAAAACTGCATGTAAAAGCGAAAGAGAGAGAAAGAGTGGGGGGGTGGAGGGAGCAGAGCACATTATCAGCCAAAAACAAAGGAAACGATGAAGTGAGAGGCTAAGAAAGACGTAATAAGAAGCCGACTGACCTCCTTGTCTCCCTTTTTCTTTCTTGTTTGAACAGAGAGAGACTCCACTTCACTTTCAAACTGGTCCACTTGCATGTTTAGTGTGTCTATTGTGTTCTAAAAATGACAGACAATAAAAACCATTATATACTTCTGCTCTACTAACATACAAGTCACTGATTAGTACTAAACAGGTAGCAGCAAGTTACCGTCAGCCACTGCTCTGTCTCCTCTTTCTCCTTCTGTGCTGGGTCCACCTTCTGAGCCAAGCCGAGCCCTTCTTTAGAGTACGCCTTTGTCTTGGTCTCCCTCTCGACAACTTTGAAGCGCTCCATTTGCTGAGAAAAGATAAGCCAGGTGGTTGAGACGATGCATGAGGCATTGGGACTACAGCTGTATACCAGCATGTAATGTTGCTTTCTGGTCACTGTCAAAATTTTAATCATGAATAAGCTCTACAATTAGTTGAGGTTACAAATGTTAGAGAAAACACTGTGCAATTAATATGTGCTGTATGGACACTTGAACGTCTTTGTTTACCGTTTCGATAAGTTTTCGGTTTTCCACTAGCTGCCGTTTGTCTTTGATCTCGTTGGATGCCACCCATGTTTTAATCTGGTCTCGTAGTCGCTAGGTGAAAAATGTTTGGAGCACAGTTAGGTCTACGCAGAGAATACTGGTGATAACAATCTGTTTCCATCCACAGACACTTGTACTGCATTGTTTAGTCCACAAAACAATGTCAAGCTTTTCATCAGTTCAATTCAAAAGAAACTGTTACATGTGTAAAGAGCATAAGTGTTGAAGAAAGTACTACATCAAACCATAAAAAACAGAGTCTCCATCTCAGAGGCAGAGACCTGTGCTATTTTTATTCTCACCTGGAGCTTTTTAATCTCTTTCTTGAGATCAGCCTCGTATTTCTCCTTCTGGTTGGCGTTTGCTGCATTGTGAAGCTGTGAATTACATAAAGCTTTTATCACTTTCAGGTTTTCTGACATGATCAATACAATCTGTATTGTTCTCACTTATTTTGACCACAGAATTGCTTTAAAATCTCACCTTTTGCCAAATGTCTTCAAACTGCTCCACACCCTCTGCGACTTTTTTTAAGCACCGATCTATTTCACCTGTTTTATGTTTGAGGACAGAACACAAGAAGGATTCAGATACAGGTGGGCAGAGTTATGCTAGCCAGTGCAACCATAAGGAAAAACATCAGTAAAAGTTGGACAATGGAATGTTTTTCTTTACCTTGGAGTTTTCTCTTGTCAGCCATGGCTTCGCTATGATACTGTCTTCATACCTTCTGTCACTAGGGTGAAGAAATATAACATAAAATATATATTTTGTTGATCACAGTTAAACTGATTACATGCAGTGATAAACACATGGAGAGACTTGCAATCAGCAGCCACTAACAAATGCAATCCTCATGACACTAAAGAATTAGCATGAACAAAGGCACTAATTCGATGTCTTTACTTTATTAATCTAAATAAATACACAGTTCTGTAGTTTCTAGCTAGCTAAACAGTTCCTAAAAGAATTGACAAAGCTAGCTAGTATAGCTGCCCTTATTAGGCCATAACACAACAAAGACCATAACAGACCAAATCTTTGCAGTTATTATGCACAGTTTTAGTTAAATAACCAAATATGTGGCTCTGTACTGTCAGATCCACTAGCTGGTTAACACAGCACCGACGTTAGCTTAGCATGTTTACGTTAGCCAGCTAGCTTAGCTCAGTTCTCTGAATAGCTGGGGGCTCTGCTAGTGGGCTAGCGGCTCTCTCATTGCTCTTTGGCTTCGCCGCCCTTCAATAAGACACAAAACATACCGGCGCGATTCATTAATCGAATAAACTTGAATTAATGCGCCCAATCAGTGACGTTATACTTCAATCTATATAAAATGTACTAATATTTGAGGTGGCTAATGGTTGTCTAGCTAAACATGAAGCTATGGTCGCGTTCCAATAAACGCACATGTGTCCTAAGAACACAAAACGTACAGCTCGCTCGTAGAAATCTAACTAACGCTAGAGAATGAAAGAACCGCAGAATCACAAGTACCAGCTAACAAAGTTCTAATGAGAAAACAAGCGATCACGAGTTCTAATTGAAACACACCGCTAGAATTCCACGCGAGAGCTAAAAGTTCTAATTAAAAGTTCCATTTATAGCTGGAACACTAACTATAATTCCACAGCTGTCAAAACGATATGCAGAAGTGAAGATTCCTACTAAAACACAATATTTCTACAGAGTAGCTGGGTGGTCTAATCTTAGCACAACAATTCTAAGGTTGCTTTCATTCTAAGCACAATCGAAATGTTCCAGTTAAAAACAAAAGCAGCCAAACACTCCAATTAAGACAACAATCCTAAAGCCTCCAGATGAATTAGATGCAGGAGTTAAACATCACAATTAGCTAAAACATTGGCAGCCAAACTTGTGTTCTCAACAGCTAAAACACCAGAATTCTCCAGCTGCCACATTTCTCAACACGAGCAAAACGTTCTACATTAGAACACAAGCCGTCGAGACCCAGAACACTAGACATTTACACACGAGCTCAGCGTTGCAAGCAAATCACGACAATACTACAAACAAGCCATCGAGGTTAGACCCCCTAAATAGAGCACTAGTGCGCATATTGGAACGCGCCCCGCAAACCCTGCACTAGCTGATGGGTTTAGTTAACGCTAATGCTAACTGAAGCTAGCCTGCTCACATCTACACACACACAGCATTTCAACTCCGCACATATCAAACACGCGGTGTTCCTCTACCTTATTCCTGCAAATATATGCGATATTCGTTTAAAAATATAAAGTAGCGACCGAAATCTTCCAAAAGTCAATTTGCACTATTTTTTTTCTTCTCGTCAGTCTCCTCAGTGCTGGACATTAAAGATGGACGCGAGACTCCGCCCACTTGCGGGTCCCGCCCACTTAATCCGTTTCCAGGTACATGATTGGATATGGTTCACTGTCAATCATTCGACACCCTCCACGATGTATTTATCTCATTGGCGTAGATATTAGGTGAAAGGTGATATTTACGGAAAGAAAATTAATTCTCTCAGTAAAAATCATCTCTAGCTTAAAACCGAGTATGTGGAAAATAACCTACAAATAACACGCGGACAAATTATATATTATTTGCATTTTTTTCCGTCTCGGTTAACGTTATTCCGCAAACACTGCGTCAGGTACGAGATGGGATCAGCACGCTTTCTATTGGCTCCGTCTTGTATCAATCAAATGCCTGACCCCGCCCACCGGCTGCATCAGACTTCCTGTCTGAACTCAGCGGAGAGACTGAATACCGTCGGACACAAACATGAGGTAAGTTGTGTGTTGTGTAGCAGATTTAACCCTCTTTTTGTTTTTAAGTGTATATGTATGATCTCGACCAACAGCCCCGCATGTGTATTTTGGACGTTTCTATAATGAATGACCCAAAGATGAGGTTTTAAAATGGTACTTTAACAGAGTAAAGTCTCAGTTTGTGTGTTAGTTGACGGCGGTTGGTCAGAAACCAGAGAAACTCAGTTTTCTCTGAAAAAAATATATAGTCTATTTTATTAACAACACGCGTTACTTAAGTAGTTAGTAGTGGATTTTTATCTGCATCTAATCGTGTGTAAATATTTCCCAGATTGTGTGGCACTTTGTCGTATTTGGCCTTATCAGCAAAGCTAACAGGCTAGCCCGTTAACTCCTGTATAATTACAACGTTATATATTGTGGGTGAGTTTTATAAAATCGTTTGGCTGAGTCCAGTTAACTGTCCAGTTAACGTTAATATCGCAGAAGTGTGTGATGAGTTCAGATCCTGGTTAATGGTAATGGTGCTATGCTATGTGGTGGGAGCTAAGCTCATAACAAAACAGTGCCTCAGCTTTCCTGTCAAACCAGGCGAGTTCAAACGACCTTAAAGTCTCACCTGCTGTTTTTGGATGAGCTTTGCTGTGATTTACAGTGTTGTGTTATATGATCTTTGTGCTTTGTCTTTAACCAGCTACCGAGGCTGTTTTTGTTGTTAGATGATTTGCTTTTCCAATTCAGGGGCACAGTTTCAACTAAGCTGACTGTAATGTAACAATAATATGTTTTATTATGTTTAGTGTAACGGAGGGAACGAAGTGCAGATGGGTCTCCGTGTGCAGAGGTTATCTCTGTCATTCCCTCTGTAGTTATAACCTTTAAATCTCTGTAGATCTCTCTATTTCTCTTCTGATCTTCTGATTTATTACAACCCCAACAAAGCAGCTTTTCCCCCAGGGCAAATGTCTAATCTATTACCATGAGGTGTAACTCAAGAAAAAAATATGCACTGTTCTGTGTGTGTGTGTGTGTGTGCACTTTCCTGGTGACGACATGTGGGCATTATAACAGACCCGGGGCCGCTTTCTCTTTCCAAGTGTTGTCCACACCCTCGACTTGAAGGACACAAAAGGTGCAGCAATGAACAGGATCAGCAGAGTACTGCTGGGGTCGTACATGTGTTACTGATCTCAGCACTGCCTCTGCTGCAATAAAATTTGGACTTTGAGAGGATTGTATGTGTCGTGTGTTTGAGCTCCTCTGCGTTTTGACTCCAAATCTGTGCTTTCTTCTCTGTTTTTTAATCTTTGTGAGCAGGGACTACAGGGCACAAATTATGAAAGAGATTCTGGCTGTTGTCCATCCAGCTCTGCCCACAAAACGGGATGTGTGTTTTAGCCACGGGTGGGTGGGCAGATGCCAAGCGAGTGCATTGCTACATTAGTCAGCTTTGGCCCTTTTCTAACAAAGTTGTCACCGAAACAGCGTGACTGTATGTCACGAGTGGATGGTCTCACTCTCCGCCGCAGTCTCTGCTGCTTGCACTTCTGCATGCAGTCATTTAGAACAATGAACTTTGTATTGAGGCTGTAATCTCATCCATTCAACCCCCACCAAACTGTTGCCTCACACTCTGTCTTGAGAAAAACGTCTGTTCAGCTTGTGCTCATTATACTGCTGACTCAAAGCTTTCATATGCGTCATAACTTTTTTTGCAAACTGATAAGTGGTTGTTTTTCAGATATTTGTGGTAGATCAAGGGTCAGTTTGATAGGTGTACCTGTGACAGCCAAAGAGTAAAGACCATTTTTGTAGAATAGGTTCTTTGCTTCTTGAGAAATAAAACCCTAATAATGTTTTTCCTTCTTTCTCTCCCTCCCTCTAGGGCTGTGCATGTTTGGGGGCATACCTAAGCTTAAAACAATCAACAAGACGGATTACAACGCAGAAACGTTGTGACATAATGCTCTCACCCGTGTAATCCCTCTGTACTCTTCTGGATCTGCACTGGTCTGTTGTTTATTGTTTTTTTGGAGGAATTGTTCTGCAGACATAGAAGAACACTGGAACTTCAATGGATTACAAATCTTGGATTTTGTGGCACGTGTCTATTGGATGATTAAGGACAGAAGGTAACCTCTGCAGACTGAGACACAAGACAGCGTCGATCACTACCCTGGCTGATGTTTTAAGAGGGAAAGTATTTGTAGTGGACAAAAAAATCACCTTGGGCATTACAGATACTTTAGAGTATTATCATTTTGCACTGACTATAAAATCCTCTAGACTACCCTTAGGGAAAAATCTTCTGTTATTTATCTGTCTGGCTGTCCCTGAATTGTTTTCATAGGTTTAAGATAATTTAAAACGTAAGTGGTGTTTACTTTGTCTCGGTTTTACATTTTCTGACCTCAAGACATTGGGTGCTGATGAACAGATGCTAGCTATCTACACTGTTTTATAATATCATTTTTAAGCAACACTAACAAGACTTTGTCAAGGTTATCTAAAGAGCTCTTATATTATTTATAGCTTTCACAGCTGAGTCACTTTTTGTCGCGTTTGACCATAATTCTCAAATTTCGCTGATTCACTCGGAGCAGCCAGGCTCTGAGGAAAGCACTTTAGTTCACGTTCGGCTGGGTCAGTAAAAGTGAATGTCACGTATGACATCCACTTTTATTTCTTCCTCTTTTTGGTTTATACACTATAGTGAGCTTTAGTGGCCTGGACCGACAGCCTTTAGGATTACAGATTCATTTTTAATGCGTTGTGTACATCGCTTTCTGATGTTGAACAGATGTTTTTTAAGAGGATTAAATATTGTTGCTTTAAGCGAAATGCACTATGAAAGAACGATTTAGCGCTATCAGGGATAGGTGTACCTGACTTGTTGATGTTTTTGAACAAAATGTTATCTAGACAAAATATTATCTAGACATCCAGCGAGTTCATTTGAGGGAAAACAAAAACCTCAATCAGTAACTCAAACTACTGCTCAGCTGATCTCTAAAGAAGAAGGATTCAGGGAAAGGCATTCTGAAACTCTGTGGCAACTACCTGCCCTTCTCTCCAGGCATCAACTAATCTGTCCTCTAGTGAAGACGGCTTCAGAGAAAGTCCTTCTACGTCTCTGCAGAAAGGCTTTCTGCATGATCCACCCAAATCCTCCGATTTGAATGCTCTCACCTAACCCCACGGATCATCTCTTGCTGTGAAAATGCGCTCCCCAGGGCCACGGAGTCCGTCCCCATCCCTGTCCCCTTGTCCATCTCCTGGACTGGCCCAGGAGGCCCTGCTGCACGGGCAGTTTGGGGGCTGGAGCACCGGAGGCAGTACAGGTGGAGGCAGCGGGAGCAGCAGTAACAGTAACAGTTGCCCCAGCAGCCCCGGAGTCTCCCTCCCGCCCAGTCCAGCCTCATCCAGCTATGCCCTGACCCTCACCCCTACGCACATCCATGTCCAGCGCCTCTCCCCTCGCCCGGGGAAGGACTCTCGGCTGCTGCTGCCGCTGGCGGAGCTGGCTGGGTGTAGCTGCCCGCGGGCACCCGCTCCGCCTCTGCTGGTGTTGTACTGGTACCCGGCAGGGCGGCGTAGGAAGGGCGTATCCCGCCGCAGGCAGGTCAGAGCATTTCACGCAGAGAGCCGAGCCGAGGCGGAGAAATGGAATGCAGCTGTACAGTGCCTGCTGAGGGGACTGGACGTCAGCGCCACTACAGGTGAGTGATGGAGTTCTATGAACTTGCCGCCTTTTTCTGATACCACTTTGGAATAAGACTACCCTTACAAGGAGATTATGAATGGTTCAAAATTCACTGATGGCTATTAATTAGGTGATAAACACCTTAAAGCCTATTAATAAGCAGTTAACACATAAATAAAAAGGCAACAATGACCTGTTACATCTGATGAACATGAAAATCTGATGAAGCTGACAGGTTTAATACTGACTGATGGAGAAGACACAGTAAGATGGGTAACCAGCAAAAGCTAAGGTTTAATGTGTAGATGAATGTGTGCTGTTGTCCTTTTTTTATGTGTTATGACAGCTCATTAATGATTTTTGAGGTGTTTAGTACTAATCAATAACCATTATTAAACTAATTTTCGACCATTCATAAACTCTTTGTAAGACTGTCCACCAAATATCCTGTTAGAAATGAACAAAACATTAAAAAATTGTGATATTTATTTTTCTTCCTTATCAGCTAGCGACAGATTGCTGGCAGTTATTTTTTCCACTAAAGAGAAATGTCCCTAGTTTCTGCATCTGGTGCCAGATTTGCCCCTGGATGTAGGTGTAGATGTGGGTGGGTGTGTTTTTGAGGCTCTGAGGTGTGAGATTATTGCCTGTCACTTATACAACACTGTCCACTGAATGTAGAATTATTCTCAGTTTTTGGTTAAAGGTGAAGCATTGATTACTGCTGCTATCAGGTCCACAGTGATGTGTCGATGGCAACACTTTTGTTCACTGGGAAAGACACGCTTACATCACGTTTTATTAGTAAAGTTAAATGTGTTCAGAGCAGATTGCTTTATCATAAATGAGGCAAACTCATAACTTTTAATGCTGCTTATTCCTCTTTAAATGTCTGATGTCTTGATGTGTTTGTCAGAGCTAATCAAACTGAGGATATGCAGTGTAGGCATATAATGTTTAGTGAGCAGCCGTTGGACGATGCTGGTTAATTTAATCCCTGTACCCTGTGATTTTTAAATACGTTACAATGGTAACAGCCCCGTAATGGTAAATACTGCCAATAAAATGCTGTTCATATACTGATTTATTTCTTGCAAACCATGGCAAGATACTAGAACTCCCACACATAAACATAATTGAGCTTTTAAAAGTGTTGGGTTAAATGATATCCTACATTAATACCACATTTATCACACATAGCATAGATGTGATTGATGGAGAAACGCGGCTGTTGAGCTGTGCTGGTTAAACACGATGTCATTGCGGCAGGCAGATATCATGCCTGGAGAAAAGCTGCCTATGTTACTGTGTATGTTTTAGGACATCTGCAGACAACAGCATCAGGTTTCAGATAAAAGGCTTTGGGTCTCAGTGTCTGATAAGTTGTTGTTAGTATTAGGTTGTTGTTGTGTTAGGTGATATTTGACAAAGATTATGCTTTAACTCACTATCACTATCAGTGTGTTTGTTCCTGCGTCTGTTTCGTTGCTAGGGTCTGTCTTAAAATTAAGAAAAGAACAATTGTGTAAATGCTTTGTATAAAAAAAAAAAATGTAGAAATAAAAAAATGTCAAAGCAAAGAAATCAATACCCTAACTTCACAAGTCCCTGTTTACCATTTACTGTGATTATTTTCCACATGGTTACCCAAATAAAAGGTTTCTATTGCCGGCACAGGCGCACTCTGACCTTATCGGGGGATTTAAGATGTAAATGTCTTATATTGTTTATTGTCTGTACTGATAAACATGTTTTATAACACTGGAGATAAAAATTCAATTCATACATAGGCCCAAATAATGCAGTGTTCAATGGATTCAGCAGGGACGCATTTGTGTGTATGTACTTGCGAGACAGAGAGAGAATTGTTGCAGTCTAAATTTTTCACATGGCAGTATGTATCAGAATTGTGTGCTGATGCTGTTTTTTATGTATGTATCTGTACAAACTGATGCCGATATACAAACATTTTTAAAATATAGAAATTGGGTCTATACCTACATGCGTTAGCATTATGGAGAAATAAAACTTTTATTACTGTAGGGGTTACAAATGCGGTAAAATGAATAAAATGCAGACAAGTGTAGTCTGGTAACCTAGCGTCACCTAATGGTTTGTTCTTCCAGAATACAGTAAATACATCAAATATCAGTTTGAAATAGTCAGTCAAATTTAAACAGCTGTCCGATGCTGATGCTTTAAAATGCAAATATTTGCTTATACCCATATGATTACAGTAATCATTGCAAATTTCTGCATTCTTGCTAAAGAAAGTTATTGGTTTGATGAGTTTTCATCTCTGTATCTTCTGTTTGGATTTTGGAGGCTGCACAGAATCCCCAAACTTATGTCATTTCAAAAGTCTGTTCCCGGGTCAGCACTGCAACCCCATGTGGTATTACAGACGTGTCATTCAACCCTTTAGCAACAATGTTTGGTTAGACTCGCTAGAAAACTTCCCTTGACTTCAAATTTGTGGGGCCAGTAGCGTCAGGCATGGATTTTCTGTTGTTTCTTGCTTGTGTCTCACAGTGTGAAGTTATCAGTCTTGACTCTGTATTTCCTTCGTTCTGTCTGTGTTTTATCTGCTCTGCACACACACTCACTGACACTCTCTCATAGTCAGAGTGGGCTGGGTCTGTTTGGTTTATGAGCTTTTAAGTTTTTTACATGGCCATCTCTTTTTGTGTGTAGTATTTGTTTGCAGTGTTTATTGTCTTGCTTGTGTGTAATGTAATGATTCTGTGATGTTCTTGTAATGCGCTGAAAAAAGCTGCACTGTGGTCTCAAAATGATCCCAGTACAATCCAGAGTCTGTTTTTAGATATAGTTCATTTTTAATGAAGGTCATTGCCTCTTCTGTTGTCCCTGTTGGTTTTGTAGTTGTTGGTTTTGCCTGATTTATTATTTTTTTTCTCTCCTCTGACAGAATTTAGCAAAAGCATGTTGCCCCGCCCTCGTCGTCTGCTGCTATTGGTCAATCCTGTCAGTGGGCGGGGTCAGGCCATGCAGTGGTGTCAAACGCACATACTGCCAATGATCAGAGAAGCCAACATCAGCTACAACCTCATACAGACAGGTATGACCAGCACAAACTGAAGATTCAAGTTCTGATCTGTCTACTGTATATATGAAGGGTTTTGTTCTAAAATACTGCTTTAAGGACACTTTCACGATTTTTATTGCATGATATATGTTGTTGGGAACAGGCATACAAGAAATATCAGTGCTATTTTATGATTAATACTACCTTTATTAGAGATTTGTGTTTTCCCCAAACATCTTTATAACCAAAATTGTTACAAATAGATATACATTATTTTGGAATGAAGACGTGGCCATGCATTATTCAGGGCTACCAATCACTCGGCTAAACCTCGTAGTGAAATTTGGGAAGTACACAAGTGGAATTGATGAGCTCATGAAAGCACTTAAATGATTGCTTAATTGTCCCACACAGTATCTATTCCTCATTGCTGATCAATCAGTCTTGCAGGTTTTAGTTTTAGTTAATGGAGAATTCCTGATTTTTTTGTATTTGTCATGTGAAATCTAAACTGCTGTCTGCTTTTTTTTTTAAAGATATTGCCTACAGCTACTGCAAAATTAAATTTTTGAAAATCTCATAGAACACAGAAATAGTCACACACCTAATTGTTTAAAATAGCAGTTTATAAATGTATATGTTGTGTTTCTGCTGTGCACCAGAGCGTCAGAATCACGCCCATGAGCTGATCAGAGAGATCTCACTGCACGAGTGGGATGGCATCATCATTGTGTCTGGAGATGGACTACTGCACGAGGTGACTGGCTTCTCACTGAGAGCACAGCTAGTAAAAAATTTGACTGATGGAAATTACGTTTAAAGTTCATCTGAGGGTTTCTTGACCTAGACAACCTCTAAGCCGTTCCTAGTTGGCCGTATTTTAAAATAGATAGCACAGTTAGATGTACAGATATACTACATTCCAGTACATAGTCACGTTACTGATCTGTCAGACTGTATGCATTCCTTTGTTTTGTGATGAATTTATGTTTGCAGTATATTAATTAAAAACAGCTTAGACTGGTCAGTGTGCCCTTAGTAAAAGTGTCTGTGACTTCATTAGTGCCATGTTTGTTGAGTAATGCTGTTTCATAACTCATGAATGTTTGACTTTTTTATTTGGATCACATTTCTAATACATTGAAAAACAAGATTTAATTACTAACCTCAGGGTAAGTCTTGTAATTAATCAGATGTTAGTATTAATAACACCTGTGTTATGTTTTGTTGTGTGACTTACGACTATGAATGTCTACGGCTAGTCCTGTGCAGGTTTAAACCAGTCAGTGTGATAAAGCACATTTACCACCCCTTAAAAAAGCATTATTAATTAATTTATTTGCTTCATACAAACCAAAGCAAGAAACTTGTATTACCACGTCAAAACAATTAATCTTTTAAACGGTGTTGGGTGAAGTGATATCCTACATTAATGCCACATTTATTGTGCCTAATTTAGATGAGATTGTTCAAGAAACACAACTGTTGAGTAGCGTTGGTTAAACTTGTAGGGAGTGGGTGCGCCACCATGTGCCGTCACAGTTGGCAGATATCTTGCTTGAACAAAAAGCCACCCATAGTACACATTATGTTAGAAAATCACAGCATCAGGTTTCAATCAGACACAACAGCTTTGGGTCTCAGGAAAAACTGTCATGTCTCAGTTCTTATACAACTGGAAATCAGGCAAAACAGCCTAAAATGATAAAAATTCGCAACTTCATTCTTCCTTACCCACAGGGTGCTTATTCATTTTTTGTCCATTGCCATGATACAATAAAGGCTTTTAATTTCTAGAGAAGTGCCAAGGAATATTGATCTTTGTGTTGAAGCCAAAGTGAATATTTATGTATTTTTTGGGGGGTGCTTTTACAGTACAGCTAATTATGCAGTGTTACTGACCTCCAGGCATGTCTCTCTGTTTAACAGGTGATCAATGGCCTCATGGACAGGCCAGATTGGGAACAAGCAATAAAGACTCCAGTGGGAATTCTGCCTTGTGGCTCTGGAAATGCCCTGGCTGGCTCAATCAACCACTACGCAGGGTAAGAGAACTCACCTGTACCACTTCATTGAGCTGTACACAGAAAAACACACACACACAGTCCAGACAGCAAAGAGTCACGAAAACTGATTTACCATTTATGCCGGCCTTACACCAAACGACTTTTCAAGCGATTTCAATGTCGCAGACAAATTTCCAATGTCAGAATAAAATCATGAAAGTTTTGCTAGAGTTGAGCTGCGCTTGCATCATTGGGATCATTTAGTGTAAGGTGGTCAGGATGGCTGTCTTAACTCAGTCTTTCTCTCGTCTTGGTGCTACGATAAAATCAACCGTGTTTAATATTATCATAATTTTTACATTTTTAATCTTGGCTCATGCAAATAGTGACGTGACAGTGGGTGGGCGAGTGCATGCGCGCGGCGCCAAAGAGTGAGTCCGTGGGGCAGATTTTAATTGGTCCGTGGCTTCTGTTTTAGAGAGCGAGAGAGCAAGGGAGAAAATGCATGCGTGAGTGCCTGAAATCTCTGTTAAAAAAAAAAGGCAAATCTGCTCCACTTTAATACAGTGATCATATAAACTTTAAATGAAAACTGGCTATTTTAATATTTCAGGCTCACTGAGTATAACAGTGATGTAAGGTAATGTGCAGAGGACTTTAAGAATGGCATTACTGAAGAAGCATCAGTGTTTTTTTTTTTCTTTTTTTTTCTTTCTGTTATAGTGGTTTCTTATTTTGTTTGTTTGTTTGTTTTTTATGGTTTAGTTCATAACACCAAATCAGCAATGCTGAATTGCTGCATGTTTTGTCAATGTTTAAATCTTTATGTCAAATTAAAAAAGTAGCTGCACATTTTACAGGTTAATTAAAAAAAATCTGGGTTATGATGTGATACATGCTCAGCCAAGGTATCTTCCCATCTGTACCACTATAGAGTGGAAGGAAGAGTGTTCATAATTGTAAATTTCTGCCAGTTCAATCATGCGATGGGGAGTAATCTCAAAAATCTAGATGCAAAGTCTTTTCAAAGTCTTCTAGTGTATGGTTAGCATTATAGTTTTATCTTTAGTATTGAGTTTAGTCTGTAGAGTTAGATAAGTGATTTCTGATCTTAGGTTATTAATGTTCTGAGGCATTTCTCTCTTCTTCACGTAAACAGTTGGTGTCCAAAGTGCGGTCCCAGGGTTAAATGCGGCCCGTGGGCAGATTTTAATTGGTCCGTGGCTTCTGTTTTAGAGTGTGTTATAAGAGGCCCGTCTGCTAGTATGCTACAGTTTTTTCCTTTCGCCTGATGGTGACAGCAGTGCTGTAAAATTACAGAGTACTTTGCCTGTAGTAACGAAGTTAGCTAAAGTTTAAGAGCCTTTCTTCTCTGGCTAGAACTGCAGCTTCATTTACCGAACGATATTTAGTCAAGACTACAGCCATAAAGCACAAACTCAATACTGATTTCATCTTGTTTTTTTGGCGAGATGGAAATTGTATTACTTTTTCACCAGGAATCACAGCAATTGTGAGTGCCTCATATTTCAAAAGACTGTACTGAATTCAATGTCAGTAGACATAAAACAATGCATGAACGTTAAAATAAATATTCAGGAGAGGAACTGAAGCAACTGCAGCTACCTGTGTCTCAGAGCACCAACTTCTTTTCAGAACAAATTCAGTAGTTCAGTAAATATAAACTCTTTAAGACCAAACAAAAACCTGGTTATTCATGCAGTTTAATCTGCTTTTCTCATTTAATAAAGTGATTTCTGAATGTTATCATTGCATTTATTTGATATGTAAGAACATGATCTAACAAAACCAGTAATGTATAGATTTTTGTTTGGTTTGTCTCACAAATGATACTTTCAGAACAGGTAAACACTTGAATTGGAATATACTTAATACAGTAGTTTTTTTTTTTTTTATTGTTACTCTAATTAAACATATTAGTAATTTGTCATAAGCACTTATTGATCTAAATTTCTCTGAATGAGTAATCAACGATAAAAGCCTTGTGCATCTTTTACACAGTGATAGGAAAACTGGTAGCTCACAGAAAACTCTGATTCTATGCGCTGAAACGTTTCACTGTGACCAGTGTTAAGAAGATTTATACGCATTTAGGGGTCATCACCAGATTCTCAGAATGGATCAACAGCAATTTTTTTTGTGCACTCTCTCTGTTTCTCAGATATGACATGTGCCTTCGGGAGCCCCTCCTCCTTAACTGCTGCTTCCTACTTTGTCGGGGTGGAGTCAGACCTATGGACTTGGTTTCTGTGACAACAAGCCCTTTACCGTCCTCTTCATCGTCCAACAAAAACGGACGTCCGTCCGCTCCCAAAAGGCTGTTCTCCTTCTTGTCAGTGGCGTGGGGTTTTGTTTCAGATGTGGACATTGAGAGTGAGCGCTACAGGGGGCTTGGCTCTGCCCGCTTCACTCTGGGCACACTGGTGCGTCTGGCTTCACTGCGCTCCTACAAGGGTCGCCTGTCATACTTGCCCCCTGCTGTGGTCAGTTCATCACCTGACGTGACCCCACAGCCTCCACGCCGTCCTCTCTCCAGGAGCATAACTGAGGGCCTGGAGGGCTTCTGTCGGACGCCCATTCATCGCACCTGCTCCGATATGGGCATCAGCGAACAGAGGAGCCTTCGCAAAGGGGATGGAGAGAGGGAGAGAGAGCGAGAGAGGGAGCGAGAGGAGAGAGAAAGAGAGAGGGAGAGGAGGAGAGAGAGAGCACGAGGAGTGGGGGTGGTAAGAGCAAGCAGTCTTGCGGAGGACCGAGAGAGAGAGATGGAGGCAGAGGAGAGGATGGAGGAAACATCCGGGTCCAGCTCGGAGTCAAGCGAACGACAAAACGAATGCGTGTCTGGGAACGGGGAGGACGAGGCAGAAGAGGATGATGGGAGAAGTAGTGGGACCGAGGGAGCTCTGGAAGCAAGAGATGTGAGTGAGGGATATGGCGTGGACGAAGGGAAAGAAGCAGAAGAGTGCGAAGACACACCCCCAGAGCCGCGGCAAGTGCTTCGCAAAAACTCCGCCCCCTCCTCTCAGATTGTCAATGCCTTCTTCAGCCAGCCAATTGGCGCCGCTGGTTCTGAGCAAGATCTAGACGCAGACGAGGATCTAAACGGCACTTACTTCCAGCGAGAGCCATCTTTCCCACCGGACCCTACACGGGAACGGTCACTGACTATTTCCTCCCCCTTCCGCCACTCGCCGTTCTCCTTAAAACCCAAAACGCTGGACCAGAACCAGAACCTGTCAAGGCCTCGTCCGCTCTCCCTACTCCACCAGTCTCACTCCAACTCTCTTCCTCCCAAGTTTCCTTCGCTCTCTCTGTCTCTTTCTCCCACTCCTCCATCTTCCCCATCTTGCGCTTCACCTCATAGCTCTGCCTACCTTGCCCCACGGCCCGGCACACCCAGCTCCTCTTCCCCGTCGCCCTCTCTCCGCTCCCCCTCCCCATCATTCACCTTTGATATAGCTGAGCCAGCTGGCCCACTCAAGAACCGGTCAGCGGTCTCCAGCCCCAGTGCTCCACCCCATGATGACTTGCTGCCACCTCTGGACCAACCCCTGCCCACGCGGGACTGGGTGACCATTGAGGGTGATTTTGTCCTGGTGCTGGCCATCTACCAGTCCCATCTGGGTGCTGACCTGCTGGCTGCGCCGCATGCCCGCTTTGACGATGGCCTGATCCACCTGACATTTGTGCGGGCGGGGATCTCCCGGGCTACGCTGCTACGGCTCTTCCTGGCCATGGAGAGAGGTGCCCACCTGTCCCTGAGCTCACCCTACGTCAGCCATGTTTCTGCCCGAGCCTTTCGCCTGCAGCCACTCTCGCCACGCGGGACTCTGACAGTTGACGGGGAGTTGGTCCCCTATGGACCCCTGCAGGCACAGGTAACTTCAGGACAGTCTTAAACCAACAGCCTTCTCTAATGACTGGACCATTAGTGTGCTTTTTATTAGATCTGGTAATGTGGTTCTGGGACTCCCCTTAACAACTGAATTCACCTATAAGCTAATCAGTAGTCAAGATAAAAACACATTCTTACCATTTTAGCTCTGTTAACAGGTTTCTGTAAACCTAGCAGATTCTTTGGCTGACAGGCTGCTACTATAATATTTAAAAAAGGGCTTTAAGTCAAATCATTATCTTTTGAGTCACAGTAACACTGCAACATAGTAAGTGAAAAATATGGTTGCCCAAATATCTGTTAGAGGTTTCAAATGTTTTTGGTTAAGCTTGAGCTACCATAAAACATTATGCTTAATAATATTAAATATTAGGTTAACTGTTAGATTTCTTATAACGTAATATGGCAAATCTTATCAGTGTGACATTAGAACGTGACATTATTGTGGCGGTGGAACAAGGCAGTGTTTCTGCATTAAACACTGATATGGAATAACAAATTATTTCAAGTATGTACAGCTCTGCCTCATTTCAGGCTCTCAGCCCTTGTAAGCACAGGGAGCGCAAACTCTAAACAGAAAGACAAAGCTATATGTTACAGAAAGAAAAGAGGACCTTTCTAATATTTCACAGTGTGATTATGATTTTATGTCACAGTCATGATTTACTTTACTTTAACCCAATACTTTAACAAGACACAGTCAGAAAGAGTGCAGGGGCTCTGTTGCATGAGACATTTAATGTATCTCAGTTGAATGGTATCGGAGCTGAACTAAAGATTTTCGGATCAGTAGTGAACTGAAGTATATTGAATTGTTACTTGTTTAACGGTATCATTTTTGCATCACATCGTCAAGATGCATGTTGTATCGTTTGAAAGAAGGACGCGCAAAGTGCAGATGCTCAGTGCCAAGAAGAGTATTGTGTCCAAAATGTGGAGCCTTTGGTTTTAAAGCTGATAATGTAAAACAGTGGCAGGTGATCTTTAAACACTGCCATTAATTACTGTTAAAATCTAAAGGAAAAACTTTAGAATTTATTTTCTCATTTACAAAGCTGTAGTGCTGAAGCGGACAAGGAGTAAATGGCCAGAACAGCCCTGACAGAAGCCAGCAAACACATTAGTGCCTTAAGCACTACTGATGCAAAGGCTTTTACAAAACACCTTATGTAACTACGTTTTATTTGCTTATTACTACTTTTTCACTTATTCCACACTTATTTAATGCATTCTGATAATTTATTTTTGATCATGTAAATGATACAATTTCTTTCCTTTTAATTATCTTTTTGACATATCTTGCTGTTTTTATTTCTATAGAATAGTTTTCCTTTTCTGCTTCATGTTTGCACAGTTAATTGCTTATTGCTTTGCATTATTCATTTGTCTGTGTGTGTGTGTGTGTGTGTGTGTGTGTTTGTGTGTGTCTCCTTTCAGATCCATCCCTCACTGGCTCGTCTCGTTGTTGGAGACTCTGGGGTGAAGATCACCAGATTCTGACCTGCTGGGATTGAAACTAAAGGGGATAAATTCTACACACTCTGGATTACGTAATGCTACGCCATCCACTTCTGGGAAGAGAGAGAGCGGAGAATTGAAATAGCCAGCAATTGCAATAACAGCTTTTACTGGGATTTACTAAAAGGGATTGCCTGATCGAGCTGCGCACAACCGTCCGGATTACAAGCGAGTTTAACGAAGGGATGAAAATTTACGGCCTATTGCACGACCACGGGATTACACTTATTTAGCTTTACTTAAGGCCGAAGCGTGAAAACAGCAATGTCTGGATACAAGAGTAAAAAGCCGTTTGAATGTGTGTGTTGAGTCAACGCGCCAAGCGTCTACATTTTAGTATTCGCTTGTTTGCAGACGCATGAGTGTTCCTGCCTTATTACAGAGAGATTTGTGGGGAGGATTGAACTGAACACTAAGGACAAATGTTGTTGTCGAACAGCTGTTGAGGTAGCCACACCCTCACGCAAATGTGGCCCATCTGTGTTGCATAATCTCCGTCCTTGGAATGCCTTATCCAGCTCTGAACTTCATGTGCAATTCCCCCTGTCTTAGTTTTCCCCTTTTCCTTACGATCACAATTGCAGGAATCATCTGGCGAGACATCAGATGTGCACAGTTTTCCCTTTACCCGAAGTGTACTCAATCAGCCAAAACATGATTGATGTCCAAAGTTTGCTTCTGTAGTATTTCACTGAAGCTATGAGGCTAATGTAGCCACTGACTGACATTGTACAAACTGCACGCCTAAATCATCCTTTGTATAAAACCTCGTCAAATTATTAAGTCATGACAAACTCACTTCTTTGTGTAGTTTCTGTATGACAGAAGTATGTGATTTAGACATGCAGATTTTACACAATGCTAATTGGTTGGGTTTAACTTTCCATCTAAGCTTGTCACTTCAGTGTAAAGAAGCACATTTCACTCGCGAACATGTCTTTGCTGATTGTGTTCAAATGGAGTGACAGAGGGATATTGTGTAACTTGGATTTTTTGCCAAGCTATTCCTTTAACTATAAGACCTCATTTATTAAAGATCAGTTCACAATGACCATAGTGTCCTGCTTAGTAAGACCTTCTCCGTGTGCATTACTGGAGACCGTATAGGTGCGTAATAAATTCAGTTTTGGTGTCTTATGTAGCTGGCTATTAAGCATATTTTGGGTTTTAGGAAAATATTGCTAAAAAGCAGATCCAAGCCTTCATAACTACATGGTGAAAATATAGAACAACAATGTTGTTGACAACTTTTTTTTTTGCCAGGAAGCTACAGAACACAATCATCTCATGGATGAGTTGAACAGTTAAACGTGGACTATATTCTGGTATATAGTGCATTTGCCTGATTGTTTAAGCAAAAGCATGTGGTGGTAATGTTAATGCAAGTAACCCAAGCTGTGTCTGTTGCCGTTGCACAAGATGGCTGCTTGGATTTTTTTTAGATTTTTAAACATTTTTATTTTTAATCAAATGTTAAATCCTTCCCAGAGATTAGCCTTTAAAACACCAGATAATTGTATGGAAACCGCTCAAAATATATGAAATAGAACAAAATATATTTGTTCTATTGAATATTAGAAATTTATGGAACTGTGTTCAGCTACTAATTTATTTAATTTTATTGAACGTATTCCAGAGCTTGTTTGAATGTGTGTGCAGGGTCACTTGTTCCTATGTTTTGCAGGAACATTTATAGGAAAGTAATTCCCAAAGTAATAAGAGCCATACAATAAATATGAGTGTATGGATGCATGCTCTGGAATCTAAACTAAACCTCCTAAGAATAAACACTAAACTCTTATTTTTTCCTCCCAGGCACCACAAATCAGCCAAGTTGATATGAATCTATGATTGTTGAATACTTAATGAGTAAAAGAAGGCAAGTGATAAAATCTATTTGAACAAAAGAAATGAAATTTCAAACAAATGTTCAGTGTCTCTTTTCCTTCTATCTGTCACGCTTATGAATTCCATCAGCATTGGTTTATCTGTATTGAGGTTTGGTTGTAGACCTTGTTAAAACTGGTCTTTATTGAAATTTTGGGATTTAGATTAGATTTAGTTTTTTTTTTCCTTGAAGGACCATGCTTTAGAGCAATGTAATACACTTTAGTAGTATTGAACTGCTGTTCATGCTGATGAAGCCAGTTAAAGATTTTTTGTTGATAGATGATTCTATAATGCTTGTAATAAAATTATAATTATTACTAAGATTCATTATTAAGCAAAACGTATATTGTACAGTTCATAGTTCTGTATAGTTTCAAATGTTTTGTTTATCCGCAAGAATAAATTTAACTAGAAAGTTATGCATGTGTTTCAGATTTCTCTTCAGGCTTCTCTGAGTGTTAAATTACCTTCAATACAGTGGCCTCTGAGGGCCAAAACTGAAGCTAAATGAATTAAGTCGCCTATGTTTAAGCCTCACCGTTTCAGCTCAGGAATGCACTCACTCCCGAAGTAAAAACACAAGGTCCTGGAAGTTTGGGACTTCACGGGAATGTGGAATAATTATCGGCAAGAGGAAGTGACATTAACATGGCTGTGATTCAGCAACCTTCCTGTGAGCTGGAGCAGAAGTATGGAGTAGGATAACCCCCCAAATGTCAGTGCGTTATGCTTCACTGGTTATCACACTTAGATGGAGGAGTAAACAAGGAAGCCGACGTCTCAGACTCTCTTCCTCTCTTTTGTCTGCCTCCTTTTGGTACCTCTGACCCCTCACACTAATCGGCGACCGCCACAGTACAGTAGTTCTCTTATCTTGCTTTTTCTTGGCCTTTCCGCCTTCCTATCAGGTCTGGTAAACAGTTTATTTTGACCCCCAGTATCTGTATCCAGCAGGTCAGCAGTAAAACCCCAAGATGGTTTTCACTGCCCCTGGATTACAGCCCTCCGCCTAAGCCCTTCACATGAAGAAAATGTAATAAAATTCTCTCATGCTCAAAAATCCTTTACTACAACATCATTTCATCATTTTCAGATCTATGAGTATACCTAAGCATCTTTATTCTGAGAAGATACAGTCTGGCTTCAATAACAATATTCCTGTCTTTAGGAATAATAGGGAAATTTCACATAAACCAAAGCACTTAAAACTATACAGTGCTTGAAAATGCCTCCGCATCCAGCACTGTTAAAACTATTTAAACCTCAGCCATTGACCCTTGAGAAACAATGTGTAGGTGTGGAGGCCTTTTAAAGAGTTTTTAATTGAGGCTAACTTTTTCACTTTGTGCCCTTCCTTTCTTTAATGTGCAGTGTACAAATAAAGGAATGCTTTTAAAAAGTGGCCTTCTGAAATAAACCTACCCTATACTATAAAGCTTTTTTCAAAATGTTTCTCCATTCAGCACTAGCAAAAACAGTATACCACATTTAAAAGCATAACAAAGTCTTGAAACTCGATGTGTAGGGGTGTAGAGTTTAAAGAGCCTTATACTGAGGTCACTGTTTTCTACACCTTGCATTCTTCCTCTGTGGTGTACCGACATCTTAATAAAGAAATGCTTTAAACTGTTATGTATTGACACACAACGATTCTACATAAACGTTTAAGATAAATCCCCAGATAACAACCAGAAAAAAATAGATTTAAACCACCTCCAGTACTGTTATTCTTATTCGAAAACGGCGGGTTGCCCTCACAAATATGGCGGACTCCGAGAACGTTCTGTCCATAGTGACGCAACATCCGCTCTCAGCTACGCTTTGTCCGAGTCGCTACGCTGCTTATTTATTTATTTACGTTTTGTTTTAGGGGTATATTTTATATATCCATCACCCTTTTCAGCACTTGAATGACATTCGAGTCTGATACATATATGCCTAAAAGCAAAGCCCCCAAAATGGATGATTTGGACTACAGTAAGTATTTAAATATGGGCGTTTTTGTTCTTTTGAGCTAACGGAGCTAACAGGCTAACGTATATTTAAGAAGACATGAAGATTTTTGAAAGATATTTGCTGCTTTGTTAGATTACCATTTTATGTCAGAGCCTTACTCTTAACGCAATAAACCACCTTCCACATTCAGTTGGCTCATTTTATGTTAACCTGTGTTAAACTGCTCCTTGCTTGCTAAGCTAATATGTTTCTGTTGCTGTGGTCCATTGTTGTGTGCATGTTAACTGCACAGGCTTGGCTTCTCCTTTTTCCTCGTTGTTCCATTAAACTGTTTCTGTTTGTTATTATTTTAAGTGACTGTTAAGCTCCTAACCTTCTAGAGGCTCGATGACATCTGCTTCTAGGACATACAGCTAGAGAAGCTTTTGTCTTAGGCATTCCTTAGGCTTTATTCATTTATTCTCTTCGCAGCCAGATAAACGTAGCTGGCTCAGAAATTAGCCTGACTTGTAAGTGTTAAGAAGATATAGGAGATGCTGGGAAGAACCTGATCAGCAAACCCGCCATTACATGCACTAGGTTACGGGCGAAAGTCTGTATTTTAGCGAGCTTTACTGTGAGGGCTGGTCTTTAAATCTCCATAAACATACATTCTCAAGACTGACGTATAGAGGACTTAAGCATAAACGCATAAAGGGGATCCTAATGTTGACTGGCGTTTTTTGTTTGTTTCTTTCATGCCAGTATCATAATATGTTGGTGGTGGTCATTCAGCTGGACGGGAAATGGCGAGAAATATTTCTTATGTCAAGATATGTCGATTGATATTAAAATTATTACAAATTTACAGCCGGACACTTTCGGACATGTCATTCTGTTTCACCATGACATTTGAATTAATTAATTTATTTAAATATTCTCAGACGTTTGTATCTACAGTGATTCTTACATTATTTGGTACTGAGTTAAATATTTTTACATTGCTCAGAGCATCAGCATCTTAAGGCTATATTAATATAGTGAATCAGCAATTACTGTAATCCAGGTTTTAACAAACTGTTAAGTCTGTGTCTTCTTGGAAGCTGCTGTCATCCACCATTCTGTAGTACCTGCAGGCGTTGTTTTTCTAGATCACAGTGGACGTGTTTGAACGCGTTGCTACATAAACATCATTGACACAGAAATGTACTTTTGTAAAGACTTAAAATTTTGGCACAGCTGAACGTCAGTCTAGAATATAAACATTCCCTTGCATGTCCAGGGTACTAGTCATGTTTCGCTCTCAGCTCCCAAACACAATGGACATTAGACACATATCAGTGAGTGTGGAAAAACAAGAACAGTGTAGTAAGTTGATCTGAGAAGAGAGAACATGTGTTGTCAAATGTAACTCCTGCCAAGACGCTTCTCTGTGTATCTGTGTCTGTGTGTGACCAGTTCACATTGTTGTTTAATTGCACAGTTACATTACACTGATCTCTTTTCACTAATCTTCCCACTGCCTCTTCTTAATCTCTTCTTCAAACTCTCTCTCCCCATCAAGTCCCGGCAGACCTGAGCCCAGAAGAGCGCTCAGAGCTGGAGGAGATCCGTCGCAGGAAGGGTGCTCTGTTGCTGGAGATCCAGAGGCTGAGAGAGGAGTTGCGGGAGGCCATTATAGAGGTTGAGGGACTAGAGAGCAGCACTGAGGGCAGGTCAGACTCGCACATATGCTTGTGAATGGGCCTGAACAGTATATTGGTTGTTAATCAGTGTTAATCAGTCGCACAAGTTTTATTATTATTATTATTGTTGTCGTTGTTGTTGTTGTTGTTGTTGTCGTCGTCGTTGTTGCTGCTGCTGTTGCTGTTGCTGTTGTTATAATATTGTCCTTTGTAGCACGTGTTACAAATAGAGATATACATATCATGAATTTTTATGACATATTCTGATTTCTTTAAAGCCAAATAAGCTGATTTTTTGATTGATTTTTATCATTTATATTTTTTAAAACTGAAGCCCATACAGTTTGGGGTAAATTAACACACTACCACACTTCCAGTATTTTTATTAGCCAAACTTGCAATAAAAACAACATTATTTGGTCTTTAATGGGTTGAACCAGAATTTTAAAATTTTCAATTTTAAATCAGTTGCCTATTTAAAAAACATGAATCAAATAAAGTGCTAGAGCCAAAAGAATCAAAAAATGCCAATTCCGATTTAGCCGATTCCAGATGTTCATCCCTAATTACAAAAAATAGCAATATGTAAATAATTGTCTAATAAGTCAGTACATGGTTAATTCACAGAAGCTCCAGATGAGTGTTTGGGATGAAATGTGATCCAACAACCTTAAATTCAGTTTGATTAAAAAATATATAAAAAAAAAATAGGGCCTGTCTATAACTTCATCCTATCAAGGGTTCATTGATGTGCATTGATATGGCCAATTGGTACATGTTGTGATGCAAATTTGCTTTCTGATGCGCATGTTTGGAACTGCAGCGTAGAGATGTAAAGAGGGTAGTGACAGACTTCATTACAATTATTGTTAAATGGAGTGTTTTGTTTGACTTTTCAGTAAAACGCTACAGAAGAGTCGGCATGTGGCCATGGGCAGGAAAAAATTCAACATGGATCCTAAAAAGGTGAGAAGTGAAACAAAAACTACAGCTCTACCTGCATCCTTACCTTTCCCTCAGTATAATGGAGGACTAGCAGCAGTCAGCAGCTGGTGAACTGCCTGGTGAAATCATGTCTCTGTGCTTCAGGGCATCGTGTTCCTCGTGGAGAACGAGCTCCTCAGACACACTCCAGAGGACATCGCCCAGTTCCTGTACAAAGGAGAGGGGCTCAATAAAACTGCCATTGGCGACTACCTTGGAGAGAGGTACCTCGCATCTCGAGCTTAGATTAATTGCTTTTATAACAAAATCAAAATAAAAAAAAAGAGTGTACTTTTTTGCATTGCAAGAGCTGCGATTTTAATTATAGCCCTTACTATCAACAGTGTTGTCTTAAGTGGGGAAATATAACCTAATAACATGAAGCTTCTGAATGCCCTGTATATGAGTTGGACCAATCACTCATGTACTGTGTACATGACAACGCAACCACAACTAGACACACACTCTTGAAAACTTAATATGTTTGTGTGATGCTTGTGTGATAACAAAATCTCTCTCTCTCACTCTCAGAGATGAGTTCAACATTAGGGTGCTGCAGGCATTTGTTGATCTTCATGAGTTCACGGATCTTAACTTGGTTCAGGCTCTCAGGTAACTGAATTCTCCTCTAAAGCCGGCAGTATACTTCAAACTATGAAAGAACTAAATGAAATCGAACTACCGCTACCAGAACTTGCTGTCGTAAATATATATATATATATATATATGTGTGTGTATGTGTATATATATTTATATGTATATATGTATGTATATGTGTGAGTGTGTGTGTGTATATATATATATATATATATATATATATATATATATATATATATATAAAACCTGTGTGGGGCTCAGAACAAACAACCCAGTGATTAGGATTTCTGTTTACTGCCATGTTTTGGCCAAGAAAAATCTTTTTTCTTCGAAATGTCATTTGTTTGTCCTATGTTTAAAGTATAGCGACTGCTTAAATTCTATCCAGCTGTTCTTTCATTCTGTGATGAATGAAGCAAAATGAGGTTTTTTGTATTTTCATTGTGACACTTTGCGAAGGAATTATCTGACACAGTAATTAAAATGATGATTTGACCACTAAGGTGTATGTGTTTGTGTGTGTGTTGCAGGCAATTTCTTTGGAGTTTCCGTTTGCCCGGTGAAGCCCAGAAAATTGACAGGATGATGGAAGCGTTTGCTCAGAGATACTGTCACTGCAACCCTGGAGTATTTCAGAGCACAGGTAGCACACACAAAGCTGTTTCTATCTCTCTCATTTCCAAAAACGTTGAGGCTGTAGGTAAAATGCAATTGACCTGTATTTGAATAAAAACAGTACAAAGACAAGATATTTAATGTTTTACCCTTTTTGAAGTTAGGGACGGGCCAATTTAAGTCTCTGAACATTGTGAAATCTTCATAAAACAGTTAACACACTCATACTTGGGGTCATCCAGGAAAGGCCTATTCCTTTATCAGTCCATTATTAAGTATGGGTCGAGGCTTGCCACTTTGCCAAAATAATTGCCAGTATAATACTAACATCCCTCAGTGAGCGATTGCAAGAATCTTACTTTATTTCACCCACTATGGTGCGTAATATCATCAAAAGATTCAGAGAATTCAGAGAAATCTCTGTGTGCATAAAGGGCAAGGCCAAAAGCACAAGATCTTTAGCCCCTCAGCTGGCACTGCATTAAAAACTGCCATGCTTCTGTAATGGATATCACCACATGGGATCAGAAATACTTTGATATAATGCTGTCATTAAACACTGGTTAATGATGCAAAATTGCGTTGGGAAATAATGAATGTTGTGTCCTCTGGGCTACAGAAGTAAAGGACCATCTAGATTGTTATCAGCATAGAGTTCAAAAGCCAGTGATAAACATGGTCCTGTCACAACTTTTTTGGAACAGGTTGCTGGCATCAAATTTGGAAGCATACATTTACCAAAACAAAACAGTAATGGTCTTTAGGTAAAACATCAAATATTGTGTTCTTGTACTCATGTTAATACTGGTCAAACAGAGTGTACTGATCACTGCTTTCTGTTTTTATTGGCATTTCACAACTTTTTTGAAACATTTTTTTTTTTTGTGTTTGTAATTGTATGTGGTTATAAAACCGTATTCCTTTTACCCTTGTGTTCCGTCTTTAACCACCTCCGAACCACAGTTTGTTCTGGTTGTGTTCACACCTGGTTTATCATACTGTCAAGTGAAATCTGAATGTGATCACCAAAAACACTTTACTGCAACAGCATCTGTGTGTTGTTGCAGACACCTGTTATGTTCTGTCGTTTGCGATCATCATGCTGAACACCAGTCTGCACAATCCCAACGTGAGGGACAAACCAACAGTGGAGCGCTTCATCAGCATGAACCGAGGAATCAACGAGGGAGGGGACCTGCCAGAGGAGCTGCTCAGAGTGAGTCGAGGAAGTGTGTCTGTCTGTGTGGGTTAGGTCGTAATTTTGTCTGGGTTATGTTACAGTTTTGGTTGGGGTCACTCATTAGGTTGGCATAATCTTTAGGTTAGAGTTGAGATTAAAGAAATTTGGTTAGATTAAGATTCTCACAAGTAGTAATAACAGTATGTATATATATCCTCTTTGTCATTTGTATGTGTATTAGTTTTCCTTCACTACTATATTTTTGGGTCTTTTTGTCTGAAATAAGTGAATGTTTAATTATTTTTAAGAGCAATAAAGAAGGAGATTAAGAATGGTTTTTCGTACGTCACCCACGTTTCATGAGTGTGTGTTGTTCATGCTCTGCATTCCTGCATGTTTTGTCTTTTAGTCTGAAATAAGTCAGAGCTGAGTCATCGTTTAGGCTTCTTATTGTGCTGCAATCCAGAAAGATCAGTCGTTAATAAACAACTGAAGAAACAGGAAGTTACAATGGAAGATCATTATCCACCATCTGTAACTTGTGCACTAATCTCTCTCTCTCTCTCTCTCTCTCTCTCTCTCTCTCTCTCTCGTCTCTCTCTCTCTCTCTCTCTCTCTCTCTCTCTCTCTGTGTCTCTCTTCTCTCTCTCTCTCTCTCTTTCTCTCTCTCTCTCTCTCTGTGTCTCTCTCTCTCTCTCTCTCTCTCTCTCTCTCTCTCTCTCTCTCTCTCTCTCTCTCTCTCTCTTTTCAGTTTAATCTTATTTATTAGGTGTGTTATATGCAGTACTGTTTGAGCAATCCTAAGTTATCGGACAATACAATAGCAGAGTACTAGTAGTAATAAAACGTAGAACCACGGTAATATTTAAATATATTTATTAACAGTCATTTTGATGGTCGTCTTGTTTCATCTTTTTGATTGTTGTGTTTCTATTCTGGAAGCATCTGTAAATGCATGCACACAAATACTAGTGCTCATTAGAAACTTTGTAGCTTCACCTTGCTGATGTTGGAGACTAGCTCTGTTCATCTGTTGATGAACAATGTGTGTTGGCCATCCTCTAACCCAGGGCTCAAACATCTTATCCACAAAGGGTCAGCATGGCGGCAGGTTTTCATTCCAAGCAGGAACACACCCCATATAAGTAACTGGTCATTTGAAGACTGAGATCAACTGATTAAATGAGTGGAATTGGGTGTGCTTTTGCTTGGTTAAAATGTAAACTTGCAGTTACACCAGCCCTTTATGGATAAGATTGGAGACTCCCACTTTAGTCCTTCATCAGTGTTCAGTTTCTGACCAGCTGAGCTGCACTTGGCTGGATACTTTTAGGTGGTGGATCATTCTTAACCTTTACGTACTGATGTGTGTAAAAAGCTGGGACAGGATCCCTTCATAAAACCAGACAAATCCAATCACAGTTAGCTCGTTTTACAACAGGGGTTAACAACTTTCTTAGTTACGCCTGAAGTGAAACTGTGAGTAATGCCTGGTCACATGCACATGAAAGTATGACATTTATTTAAAAGAATAAATGAAAGGTCAAGTGGTTTGTTTTTCAAAGAAGTCCAAAGAATTTATACTGTTTAAATATGCAGAAAGTCAAGCATATATAACCATAAAAAGTAATTATGTCACCGCTGCCACAGTGGCAGTGCTTATTGGAGTAGTAATTGCTTTATATATTTGATATGTAGGTAGTATCCTATATAGTATGATTTGTTTCTTCTGCTGAAAAGTGATTTATGACATGAAAAGTCATGAAGAAAAAAAATAGCAAACTGAAAAGATTCAGATGGGTCCTGATATATATAAGATGGCTGTCAGAAGCTTGCACTGATTGAGTTGCTTTTGATGCAAAATTCCAAACTGGCCCTGTCCTGGAGCAGTTTAGGTGTGCAGCATTAGTTGCTGTGGTGATGTACCCTGATTAAAAAGTGATCCACCATCGTGACACAAAAAATAGAAAATCCAGGGATTGTTTTGAGCTTAAGGTTAGCTGGCTAAGCAAGAAATTATACTTCGTTCAGGCCAATGGAATAAGACTGAAAAGCACTGGTGTAGAGGGTGGCTGACCAATTGTTCATGAGAACAGATGGGCAACAGTCAGTAATTGCCTTAAACCTATAAAATAGGACCTAATGAACTGATGAGTGACTGGAAATACAAGGTGTTTTCCACTTAAGTGGACTGTAATACCAATACATCTCTCTTTCTCTCTCCAGAATCTGTATGACAGCATTAAGAATGAGCCTTTTAAGATCCCTGAGGATGATGGAAACGACTTGACTCACACCTTTTTCAACCCAGACAGAGAGGGCTGGCTGCTTAAACTGGGTGAGTCCTCTGAGTGGCTCCTCCTATAGAGGAAACTGTTGCACAGAGAAGGTGGCTCCTATCCAGGTTCTCTACATGTGGGTTAATGCTAAGCTTGGCCTGTGGTCCCGGGTGTCTGTGTCTCACTCCCTCTCTCTCTCTCTCCGAATCTTCTTAAAATGATGGCCAAACTGACACTGCATGATGTTTTATTTATTTTACTGCTGTGCAAAGTGTTTGCCTGTTGGCATGATCTCTGTGTGTGTGATCTTTATTGAGCAGTTTAAAAGTTTGCTTACTCTTTGCATGGTGGGGACTGTGATCTCTCGCTAATACCTTCTTACTCATTTTCCTTTGTTCTTTCTATCTTTCTTCTTCCCTGTCTGCCCTGCTCTCTCTCCGTCGCTCTTCCTCCGTTCCTCTGGCTCCTGCTCTGCTTGGCCTGTGGTTTCCGCTCTGCTGCTCTGCAGGAGGTAGGTGCTGTCAGACCGGTTCTGTATCAAATATACCTTCTCGTCTGTTCTATAACCTTAATAGTGCTCTTACTAAGACAGATATTTCTGATTTTGACCATTACATGTTGTAACATTAGTAGCCTGTTAAAATGGGCAAATACGTTTTGTCCAAAATGGGGATTTTAAACTTTCATTTATTTTTCAATTTTAGATGTTAAAAACACATTTGTAAAGTAGAAAAGGGAAAATTTATAATGATTTTAATTTGATTCAAAGTTAGTGTTGTCTGTTTGTGGAATAGTGTAGTTTGTGTCTTGTTTTGTGGGACAAAAAAAATCATCCTTTAGGTTACTTGTCATTTTTGTCATATTTTGATATTAAAGTAAACAGAAAATAGTCAAAGAGTTAATAATTATAATGAACACCCTTTTTTGAAATCCAAAGCACTCCAAAGTGATTATTAAAAAAACAAAACACGCTATTATTTTAAAACAGCTTGACCCCAAGAGACCAATTTGAACAAACCAATTGGACTACTTGATTTTACAGCAAAAGTAAAAATTCTGACATTGTGTATTGATACTTATTAAGGTGAATTCAAAACAAATGTAAGAAATCTCTCTTTCTCTCTCTGTTTCTGTCTATCAGGAGGTCGAGTGAAGACATGGAAGAGACGGTGGTTTATTCTGACTGATAACTGCCTGTATTACTTTGAGTACACTACGGTAAGATCTCAAAATTCACACATGTTCAGCCACCATTGTATTATACATATTATACAGTCTTACTACCAGTGTTATGGTGTCGTGCTGCAGACTAGCAACTAATGGTTATTTCTCTGACCGATTAATTGATCAACAGTTATTCAATCAGGCAACTTAACTATTATGCCATACTTTGAAGTTCTGTCTGTTTAAGTTCTTTTACGATGCAATACTTGTTTACAATACTTGTGTGTTGTAAGTGCATTTGTTTTATAACTCAACAATGCATTGACCTTGAAAGGCCGCACAGTTTTTTATTTTTCCTTTTAATAATAGACCTTGTCAAGTAATTGTTGCAGCTCCACTGATAATAAATTACTTTTGCTTTCATAATGTGTGTGTGTTTAGGATAAAGAGCCAAGGGGTATCATTCCTCTGGAGAATCTGAGTATTCGGGAGGTGGAAGATCCCAGAAAACCTGTGAGTTTTCAAATACAACTGTCTGAATAAATTAGTTTATTCATTTATTAACACTTTATGGCTTTAAATTTACAATATAAATATCTGTCTTTCTCACCCTCTGTGTTTCACTCTGTCTCTGTCTCTCCCCTGTGAACTGTAGAACTGTTTTGAGCTGTACATCCCGAATAACCGAGGGCAGCTCATTAAAGCCTGTAAGACTGAGGCTGACGGCCGAGTGGTGGAGGGCAATCACATGGTCTACAGAATCTCTGCCCCCACACCAGAGGAGAAGGATGAGTGGATCCACAGCATCAAGTGAGGAGGGGAGAGGGTTTGGAGAGGCAGGGCGTGGGGAGAAAACTCTGTAGTGTTTAGTGTCTCTAATGTCTCTAAAAACCTGTCTGGTGAACACACAATACACTTTTTTGTCGTTGAATGGGAGATGCTGTGTGTCAGAAATCTATTTAAACGTAAAACTGCACACTGTGAGAAGTATTAATAAATCTCTCAGGTGTCATTAACCAGTCTCCTAGTTGTTACATAAATGATTAAGTGTAATTATATTCTTAGTTACATATTTACATTTACATCCAGTTTACGTTCTGCATTGACACGTCTGAGTCTGTGATACTTTTTGTATGTTTGAGGTCAAAAAAATGACAAAAGAATGGCAAAAATGTAAAGACTGTTTTTTCCCCTCACAAAACGAGACTGTTCACACAGCAGTACCTTTTTATTCAATTAAGACATCTTCTACTTCCAAACACAAATCAGTTGATATTGAATAAAAAGTTTAGTGTCTAGTGTTTAGTGTCTGCCCTGTGATGGACTGGCGACCTGTCCAGGGTGGATACACGGTTTAGAAAGTGTGTGTGTGTGTGTGTGTGTGTGTTTAGTGTCTGTACTACTCACATTTCTTTGCTTGTTTCAATGAGCTATGATTGAGAAATATTTCAACAAAACGTAAAAAGAAGCATTTAAATGCATATGCACCATGGGAGCCTAGGAAGGTTGATGTACCAAACTCAAAACCCAATTAAAAACACAATTTATGGATATCGATGCATCGGATCTAGTCAAGTGATTTAAATCACTCATCCATCATGCTGGATTGTTCTTGGGTGTTTTTGTCAAATCACATTATCACACAGGTTTTAATGCGTTGTGATAATATTATGATTATGCATAAGTTACATCCATCTGGCTATACACCTCTATTCACTAACCCTCTGTCTCTTTCTCTCAGATCTGCTGTGAGTGTGGACCCTTTCTACGAGATGCTGGCTGCAAGGAAGAAACGCATTTCCTTAAAAAAGAAAGAAGAGCAGCCTTAGGACACTTTCCCTCCTCTTCTACCACTTTCCTCTCATCTTCCATTCCAGCAGAGGACAGAAATCATCCCTCCATCTTCTAAACCTTGAACGACACCTGTCCCCTCTTGTCCAGGCACTGGTCGTTTGCTCTCTTGCTGAGGGTGCATAAGCTTCTTTTGGGACTACGAACTCCTACACTGAGCTGCTCGGCTCCGTTCCAGTGTTCACTTCACTTCCACGCTTGTGCCCTACACACTCTACCAGTAGAGTGTTCACTATATTATCCACCTCCTCTCCACACACACTTTCTCCCTAGTACAGCTATATACTACACACTCCCAAACCAAGTTGCTTTAGTCTGTAGATTGCTAGCAGAGAAAAGCTTGTTTCTCCAGAACCAGCAGCATTCCCTGGGAGGAAACAGGAAAAGCAGGATTGATTCCTCTACACAAACAATAATGCTGGTGCTTAATTTATTTACTGAGATCTCTCGTACTGGTGGTACCACATTATTGGAGTTGCAGCAACACATTGTATTCCAGATTGTAGTATTCAGCAACACTAAATACTTTCCTCCTCTGTCCGGACCTGCATACTCCATCGACCATCACAGCACTGTTCCTAGACACTACTTTACTTAATACTTGTTTTACACACTACACACTGCTGGCCTTATCCTCTACCCTATTTCATACTCACTACTGTTTTATTCTGTTTGCTGGTCTTCCTCTCTCCTGCATTAGACACTGTGAATCACGTTGAAACACTAATTAACTACAGGGTACACAACAGGGCCACTTCATACATCTCTCAATCATCTTCGTCTTCGTCATCCTCTTCAGGGCCTGATTTACTGAAGCCCCAAGCATAGTTAAGCGTTACTGATATCTAAATGTTTATCAAAATTGGTGATTGGCCTGTATGACTGTATTGGCTTCGCTTTCAAAGAAAGCCAGAGCTCAAACGTTTGACTAGACTTGAGGTTTGCGTCAGTTAGGCCTTTTAATTAATTACTGGGCTTTTTTCTGCTTGTCTGAAAGCGTCTCTGTATACTGACAGTAATCCTCACTAGCTTTATATTACTTGTCTTGTTGATGAAGGAGCCACAAAAGGCTGTTATTTACGCCACATATCAGTTTTAGACCTTGATGAATAGTCACTTGTAATCTCTCTTGTCTTGATTGGAAAGTACAGTAGATTTAGTTCTCAAACAGGCGTCACTTGACCAGGTGCATTTTGTTCAGTTCACTTCTATAAAAGGCTTGGGTTTTGTTTTCATTAAACTGCCTGAGGACTGAGAGGCAGTAGGAGTGTGCTGCCAAATATTGTCCCCCATGGATCACAAGGAATGCCGTGACCTCATTTCCTGCATATAACAACAGGAAATCAGCGTTGGCGGGCCGTGACATTGTTATGATGACAAGTCTTTGAATAGACCCGTTTTCCAATAAAACAGTAAGCGTGCAGAAGAATAGGTCTCTAAAAGTAGCTGCGGACTCCACCACCACCCTGCTTTAAACAGAGCCTTCTTTCTGAATATCAGTTTTCCCAGAAATTCAATAACAAAGATCTGTCGCTCATACTGTATATTTAGAGCCCAGACACTGAACAGTAGAGCTGAACTTAGGCTTGGAAAATGGCGTTTCAAAACATACCTCAACCAGATACAGAAGCTTTCTCACGTTCGCCCGCTGTAAGCTGTGTTTCGGTCTTGGGCCGAATGAATGTGTGTGGAGGTTCTCTGTGTTACGAAAGACACTAAACTATACGGTTACCAGTCAAAGGTTTGGACACCCCTACTCAGGATTTTACCCATTACTGTTTTACACATTTTAGAATAAGTGAAGTGATCGTAGCTATGAAAAGGATTATGCCATTACCAAATCTTATTTTACATTCTTCTTTGCCTTGACTGCTACATGTCTAGACATCAACTTTCCTGTTTTATATTTGTCTTAGAAGCAGATTTCAAGCATCTAATTAACTGTTTAGGTGAGTCCAAACATTTTACTGAAACTGTATGTATGTGTGAGTTGTGACCCCATAGAGACGGTGCAGCTAAACTCCCAGTTTACTTACATCAGAGGGCTTGAAGGAGCTCCATGGCAGCTTGAAGTTGTGTATTATATGTTGTCGTTTTCTTTTGTAAATACATGTTAGTATATATGTTTACAACATGCATACAGATGTTTAATTTATTGATTTGCTTAGTTCCTTTTTGTCAACTTTTTGTCAACTTCTTTTTTTTCTTTCTTTTTTTTTAAATGATCAAGGAATAGGGTTGCATGTCATGCTGAACTGAAGCATATTCCTTAAGATTGAATCAGATATAATTGTATTGGCTTTGTCTAAAGGGTCTATTAGTGTTCCTTATTTATAATGTATGATTTATATTAACAGCCAATGAAGGCTGTTTTTTGCCCTAAATTGTTGTTCTGAATTAATCACTGCTTATATACTATGGTTATGATTGAGTAATATGAAAATAATTGAATACAAATTGAGTATCCTTTACAGGTGTTTTAAAAAAACTGGTGATAATAAGGAACACTAATAGTTCTCCATAGGCTTCAGTAACAGCCTTGTATTTAAGCTACGACTAATTATAATGGTGATGTTAATGATGAGAATGAAATGTAGCAGCATTTTTTTTGTTTGTTTTTGCGTGATTTTTAAAATGGTTCCCTGCTAATATGAACACTGGCCTTCAGTGCTAAATCTTTTTCTTGAAACCTCTAGATTTAGGGTAGCCGTTACTGGAGTTAGAGTTCATCGTAAAGGCACTTTAATACCAGAGGGAGTGTCCTGATGTCCAGGAACTGACCACATGGTCACTGTGTCTCTGGCACCCTCTGCTGTGACACAGTAATATCTAATAGTGTTTAAGCTCTGCCTTAGGTGGACAAAGGACACCTCACAACTAACAGAGCACAAGTAATACCCACACTTCCACAGAGCTGATTATAGAAACTGTACCTAGTAAAAGTTTGTTAAAGCTGTATTTTGGAGGTGTTCTTGAGGAGATGAATGAAATTTTGCTCAGTCTAAGTTCAGGCTGGAGCATTCATGATGTGATGTGCAGAGTTGCCAAAATAAAACACCTTGCAGAAGAACAATACGTGAAACAATGATTTCCCTACACAAACACACTCCCCCTCCCTGCTTTGGCTCCCTCTGAGGTTAGGTTTGTTTATGATTGAATGATGTAATACACAGCGGTACGGATGGCAAGAAAACAATGCTTACTGTAGCAAAACAAAACAAAAGTAAAGGTCACAGTATGTATTGGTGCCAGACAACTCTTATGAAACAATAAAGTAAAATGGAAATATTTTCATGTTTACCTCTTCTTTCTCCTTCATGTGGCTTCTTGCTTTTGGTCCCTGCTGGAGTCCAGTGATCACTTGTGTAAAACATTAAGTAAATTTTGCAGTAGCTTAAAAATAATAAAACTAAAATTAAAAGGAGGGACAAAGTACATAAAAGAAATGAAAGACTTGAGTGTTATTAAACATACTTAAGGGTAAAATGCAGTAAAAATAGAGTGTAAGTTTTAAAGCTCAATCATAAGCACATGAGCAGAAATGTTTTTAACCTGGATTTAAAGGTGCCACAGAATGCATTTATTCAGCATGCTAAGTTGTTCTCTCATGTCCACATAGAAGGTGTGTGATTTTGGTCGGGGTGAAAAATGCCTGGATGTGGTTTTACACACCCACTTACAAATCTATGATTTGGCCCAAGAATGAAACAAGCTACTTTCCCTTTTTTGGGGAGCCTGGGAATCGAAGTATGAAGTCTCTCTGTTGACAAACTCAGTAATTTCAGTTTTGTTCTTATTTAATTGAAGAAATTTTGTCTTATTCAGTTGTTTATGTGTTCCCTACATTGACACAGTGAGTCCAATGGGCTGTAATCTTGTGAGAGAGCATTGCATGTCTGTCTTTATATCTATGGTGTTTGATGATGTTATTCTGTAGAATTTGGCCCAAAGGCTAAAGATAGAGATTGAACGAAAGAGGTCTGACAACTGATGCCTGGGGGTTTCCCCATGTCATAGCTGCCCTATTAAGCTGCCAATAGTGACAAAGTAACATTGGCCTTCTAAATAAGAGCTAAGGACTGTTCTAAAAAGTCCTACCCAATTTTCCAACCTGTCCAGCAGTGTTTTATGATCTACAGTGACAAATGAAGCACTAAAATCTAATAATACCAAAACTGAAGTCAGTTTTCAGCTGTATATCATTTAACACTTATTTCAGTTTCAGTACTGTGGTGAGGTCAGAAGACTGATTGAAATTTGTCAAAATAACTGTTTAAGTTCCAAAACATTCAGGCAAATGTTAAAGTGGAAAGCGAACAAAAATTCATGATGGTATCTTTTAGAGTTTTACAGTTTTAGACTCTAAGTTTAAGTTTCAGAACTTACGGTTTTGACAGTTGGGTCATTCTACAGGAACATCCATTTTTGTGTCCTTAGCGTTTACAGATATATTACACTTAAAAACATGTTAGTGTTACAATTTATTTATATTTTAAAATAAAACAATGTTATTTTAACAATTACACCTTCTTGAGCCTTCAATTTAGCAAAATTGGTTTTTATATCTAGAATTCCAAGTACCACAGAAGTGCTTGTCCCCACAGTCATGTGTAAAGGGCAAGTGCCACATTTTGAAGAAAAAAACACTTTTTTCTGCAATTTTAACTGCAATAATCTATACATGACTATGGAAATATATAAATTAAATGACGTAAAGAAAACAAATTCCAAATAAATATTATAAAATATATAATGAAAGTTGTTGTCCCCAGGAGTCGTGTCACTGGTGTTACTGCGTAACAAAAATCTCTTATTTTGAAATAAAAATCGCACTGATGACATCACTTGACTTCCTTTTACCTATTTTCAGAGGATCCATTGAAAAAAGTACATGGTAAGCCCACTGTGTATTTTCAGTTATCAGAAATTTTCTCATTTAGCTCATGATTATAGACGCAGTTTTTAGTTGACGTCACTGGTATGACCTACTTTATTCTTAGGTAACTGTGAAAAAATAGAATACAAATGGATTAAATTACATATTTTAGTGGATATTCCATGATTGACAACATGTGGTTTGATGCTCTGTAGCAGCCATTTTGTAAAATGCATTTTTCATTAAAAATGTCACTGGTGTTACTGTCTCTGGTGTTACCTTTCTTATGTGTAACACCAGTGATGATAGGTAACACCAGTGACACCTATGGATAGATAGAACAGTTTACCTTTAATCTTATAGCTCTAAACGTATCCCTTAAGAATTTAACTTGAGATGAATGTGTAAGATGTTTTATGTAAGTGACCGTAGATCTTGTCATTTTGCCACTTTTGCCACTTACCTCTCACTTGAGCTTTAGCAATTTGCTACAGAGTGAAAGGATGCCAAAAAGAGAAGAATAACATCTAACAAATTTCCCTTTTTTTGTTGATAGATGCTTCATGCTCCTCTACATTTCCATAGGGAGGTCAGTACTTGAGGGAGTTTGACCTTTATACTTTTTAACTCAAGTTGTTTTTTGGTAGCTACTTTGTTTGTTTTCAGTGTAATAAAACTTCTCTTCAGTATTCAAAGTCTTTATTTACAGTGTGTGTTCATACATCCTCATCATCCACCTGTGGGGTTTACAGTACAGCTAAAAAGCTACAACACTGTTAGAAAAAAGATACAAGGTGCAAGTACAATGATGCTCCCTAACTGGAGGTACTACCCTTGAGGGTACCATGCTAGTAGCAAGTATACTATTTTAGTTTAGTACCTTTTTTCTGAGAGTGTACAGAACCACAATGTACAAAAACAAACAACAAAGAAATCAATAAGTTAAACAGGACAAAGATCAGATTTATATCTGATACATTCAGACAAAGCATGTTCTGTACATCTGAAAAGTCTGAACAAAAATGACTTATTCATAAGTTAATAAACAGATTTCCTGCAGACTTTAGAGTTCAGTGTGTAAACATCACTAGAAAAAGTCCAACATCAGCAGAATAAATCTGTATTACTGTACATGTTACAGAAATACAATGTGTTAAAAATCACAATTAAAACTGTTGTACAAAAAGTTAGAAATGTAGGTAGGCCTGCTGAGAGTGTTTGCCATATTTCAGACACAATGTTTCAGCATAAAACCACTTCATTAATATATATATATATATATATATATATATATATATATATATATATATATATGAGTAGAAAGCTCTGAGAATTGTATTGATGAAAAGAAATCGTGTGAATTGTCAGTAGCTTTGACACAGATTCTCTTAAGGGTCAGAAAATCGGTCAGGACAACCTGTGCAGTTTGTTTCTTTAGGAAGACTGTTGATTTTATATAGAAATTCATGATGTTAAGTGACATTGGCCAAACCATAATCTACTCTTAACATTATGTCTATCAGTTCTTTGGTATTGCTGTATCTTTTAGTGTTTCCTCATTCGAAGACACTTTCATTTACTTTTCATCTATTTTAGGAAGGCAACATCTACATTACTTTAGAATTCACTCACCCAAGCCTGGGTCAGTTACCTTAAAATGGTTTCCTGCCCAAACACCTCACCTGCCTCCAAAACATCCTAACTATCTAACCTTGTTCTCTCATTCAGCGACGATCAAGCACCATCCAGAACTAGACGCACATATACATCATACACAATAAGAAAGAAAATGATATTCACAGACAAAACCTTATATTCACATACAAACCTATAGCACCAGTCAAAAGTTTGGACACACTTGTTTGAATTAGTATGTATAATCTTACATATTTTGTGCTAATAACTTCTGTTTAAATGTGAAATGTGTTTGAAATGTAGGCAGTAATAATCAATGCATGTGTATGAAAATATTTCCAAAACAACCATTTTAAATGTAAGCTTTTTTGTGACTCCCAATAAATGTTTATGGAACTTCAAGACGTGGCACCTCCTGAAGCTCCTTAGATAATGCCAAGAGCGTGTTAATCTGCATCAAGGCATATTATGGCTACTTTAAAGAATTTCAAAATATCAGAGGGTTTTGATTTATTTAACATTTTTTTCATCATGGAATTCCATAACTGCTGTTTCGTCGTTCTGCTGTCTTCACCATGATTTTAAAACAGTAAAAAAAAACTCCCTTCATGAGTAGGTGTGTCCAAACGCCTGACGACTGGTACTATCCATGCAACACATATGTCCGTGGAATAGATGATGGTTTATTGCCAGGTTGACCAGGAATGCGGAAGGTGATGGTTCTGCCCCACAGCTTTTAATAGCCTAGCCTTCCCCATGACCACTGTCTTTGTGCCCAAGAGGAATGCACTTAACCATCCTCATGACCCAGGGTGTGTTTGTGAACTTCTCCCTGGTTGGTTGAAGGTTATGTAGGTTATTGTAACAGAAGGCCATTTACTTGAAATGGGAGTATTGAGGTTTGTTGTGTTTCCACCACTGTCCATAATTCATGACGGTTGTTTTATTATACTTAGCTGATACTCAAATATACTTTATAACAAAAGTCCACCAGCTTATATTCTGTAATACTAGTCATGTTTTTTTTTAAATGTCATGACCTCAGTGGCAGGGGTCGAAGGGGTATTTCGTGACCCCGCCATGCAGCTCCACCACCGACTCCTCCCATGCAATGATGTCACCAGTCATGTGACCCCCGCAGGATGCCAGGCTGTAGATGTCGTGAGGTGTGAGGACATGAGACCACAGCTGCAGGTCTGAGATCTCCCCCACAAATGCCTGAGTAGCATCAAACCGGCCGCCCAGCGTGTCCTACAACACCCAGAAATAGAAAAAGTAGGGGTAAGACCACAGGTGTGTGTACATGTGTGTACATAACTGCCTGACTATATATGTATATATGTATATATTTTTTATGTATATATTTAACAATCTCTGCAGCAACAGATGAGATATTGGATCTTTCTTTACATCTACATGGTGGGTCAACAAGGCAGGTGTGTGTCTAACAGATTGGACAGTAAGTGGTGTGTCTGCTGTGTCTAATCCACTCGTACCAGCATGCACACACACACACACACACACACACACACACACACACATACACACACCCACAACCACCATATCAGTGTCATTGCAGTGCTGAAAATGATCCACCACTCAAATAATATCTGCACTGTGGTGGTTCTGTGGTGGCCCTGACCATTGATGATTGCAGAAGCAAATAATGAATTATGCAGAGAAATGGATGGGCTACACTCTGTATTACGTTACATTACATACATTACATTATTATGTAACTACGAGGTGCAACTAGATGGTATGTAGCCTTGATAAAATCGACAATGAGTGTAGATACAAGATAAATAGAATGGGTGTGTCTGTGTTACCTGTTCCTGTCCCAGTATAAACACTCCTCCAGGTTTGATTGGGTGCCAGGCTGAGAGGTTTTCCCCAGATCCTCTCTTCACTCCATCCTGATATGCCTCCCACAGTCCGTCTCGTGTCGACCACGTCACACACACATGGTGCCATTTGCCATCACTCAGTGAGAGCGGTAAGGTCACTGCCTACACAAACACACCACACACATATAGATTTGGTTTATACACATAAAGTATATACATCTCCTCTCTCTCTCTCTCTCTCTCTCTCTCTCTCTCTCTCACCCTGTCGTTGATTAGCAGCTCCATTGGATTGTTCCCCCACTCTATCAGTACCAGTTCATTGGCCTGTCCTGGGACTGAGTAGGAGAATGGTGTTCCTAGTCCTGGTCCTGCCCCTCCTTTCATCCACAGGCATAGCGTCAGAGCAAAAATCTCATGCAGCAGCGTTCTCTTCACTCGTCCGTACATGTAGTTGGTGCGCATGGGGAATCCGATCTGGAAACCTCCAGTAGCCTTGCCGTTCTTCCTCAAACCTGAGGTGGGGAAATAACCAGCACCATAAGTGGGGAAAGCCCTATATGATTTCAGGGGCCCTCCAACATACCAGGAATTACATATGCCATTTCTAACTAACATTATTATATTACATTATTATCACTTTTATGGTTGTAAATATGTGACCTGTGATTAAGCAATTCAGTGCACCATGAAATCTCAAAGCAATGCATTAATGCATTTTTATTATTGGTTTAAAATGTAAGCTTTTCTCTGGGAGGATTTCTAGTCTTGCCCTAGTGTATGGTTTTACATATATACAGTACTGCATCTTAGGCATCTATGAAATTGATATGTAAAGCCATTTGTCTTGGCAGTAAAATGTATTTGTCCATTAAAAACTACCGTTATAATAAACGCATGTAAACAAATTAACATTTCATACACAGGAGAGTGTTAGCACCATTTCCCAAGCTCTGTACAAGGAATTCCAGTATTTTACAGTTATCATCCAATATCTAGATTGGCTGATCAGTCCTTCTTTAAATTAAGTTGACCTGTTGATGGAAATGAACAAATCCATGCGATGGCTGGAGTGCAGCAAGAAGTCAGGAACCAAACCTAGTGTTCTTCTAACTTTATTTTTCTAACCAAGATATTAATCATGTTTTTAAATCGAAACAAAATATGTGTTACATTTGAAAGTCCTTATGTCTATTTGTATTTGTTTGTCTATTGTGTGTGTATATGTATGTGTGTGTGTGTGTATGTGTGTGTGTGTGTGTGTGTGTGTGTGTGCATGTTTGTCCACCTGTCTCCGAGAGCCTGTGTGTGAGGTGGTTCAGCACTGCATCCAGCTTGCTCTGCCCGCTGTGGCCTTGTGAATGGTAGGACATCCTTGGGTAGCTGTGACCAGTGGCCTCGTTATCGTGGTGGCTGTCTTCGTGCTCTCCATTGGCAAGGTGAACATCGTCGTAGCTGCTGTCATGATGGTCTTGGCTGTCGTCATGGTGGTGGTCATCGTGGTTTTGCCCATCATGGTGTTCGTGGTCTTCGACATGGTGCTCATGGTCGTCGCTGTGGGTCTCATGACCACTGTCGTCGTGATGGTCACTGTGGTGATCGTCGCCGTCATCCTCGGCGTTGTCATGGTGGTTGCTGCTGGAGAGTGAGGTGGTGTGGTGCAGCATCTGCTGCTCTAGAGCGGCGATCTTGCGCTGCAGCAGGTCTTTCAGCGAGCTGGAGTAGGTGGTAGAGGTGTTTCGTGTCTGCCAACACAAGAATCCCGCAATTCATAATCAAATTCACAACAGTGTGGATGGAAAGGATGATATTAAGCACCAGGACCATCAAAACCCCCTTTCTTGCCTTTATTTCTGTTTGACCTTTTACTCTGAACAATGACCATCATTTACAATTACCTGTGTTAAAGTGACAATCCAATGAGCAAATTAATTCACACAGTTTTTCCCTCACCCCAAATGTAGTTGATCAGCCAAGACAAAACAGTAGACCAAAAAAAAAAAACAGTGTCCAAAAACAGGAGAAGCAACTGTTCTGAGGCCTGATTTTTGTCTGCACTTTTGTCAATTTTTATAGTTATCGGTATGCCATACAGTATCAGAAACCACAAAAGCAAGTCTAATTGAAATTACTTTTGGCATTAAATTACATTTTCCCATGGTTTCACTCAAATGCATGTGGTTTACAAGATGATAATTGGTGGGGTACTAGCTTCCAAAGTTAGGCACAAAGTTACACTTATATTTGTCCCACGACGGGAAAATTCACCTCTGCATTTAACCCATCTGTGCAGTGAAACACCCACATACACACTAGTGAATGCACACACACTAGGGGTCAGTGAGCATGCATGCCCAGAGCTGTGGGCAGCCCTATCCACAGTGCCCAGGGAGCAGTTGGGGGTTAGGTGCCTTGCTCAAGAGCACTTCAGTCATGTCCTGTCAGCTCAGGGGATCCAAGGCTGGTTCCCAAGGCTGGTTCCCTAACCTCCAGCCCAAGACTCCCCCCAATTTCCATTACTAACCTTGTAGACCCAGTGCAAAACTAAAGTTGTGTATATTTAATTTACCAAACTATTACTTTAAAATATATATGCAGTTCTATTCAGATCTTCCACCTTCTTCACCAATTGCGCTGTGAGCATGTGAGCATTACTGATCCAGAAAAAGCAGTCCTTCTCTGAGATCCATGGTTGTTATGACTCAGGCTCTTACCAGTAATTAGTTCAGGTGGATTTATAGCTGCTATTTGTTTATTACAGCAGTAGTTGCAGTGTCTGTCTGGCCTTCGGCTTCTCTCAACGCTCAGAATGGTGCCAGTCAGTTTTCATTCCTATCCTCTGCATCGGCACATTGCCCACCGTGCCAACATTACCCACTGTGCCATCCAGCTGCACTAACCCTGCCAACTCTATCCACCCATCCGCCACCCCACCATGCCTGGCACTTGACCCCTCCTCATCTCCAGGAACCATCTGTACAGGAGCAGGGCGGACAGGGTCTGATGCAATGCTGCCCTCAACAACAGTCCTGCAGTCTATTAGAGCACTATGAACTAACAACATGAGTGATTGAGTGATATGTTTTAAAGAAGATACAAACCTGTCATTAATATCATGTGATTTGTTATTACCATATCTGCTGTGTAAGGTATGAATAGGATTAATCAAATGCAGATGTGTAATGCAAAGTGTTAATTACTCTTAATTAGCATTAATTACACATCATGTATTTGTAATGTCAGTGTTTTCCCCTGTGTTGTCCTCTCTCTTAGCTAATCCACTTCTTTGCCCTGATTACGGGGTCTTCAGAAGTGATCACACTAATCGACTGTGATCTTCATCAGCTGACCCCCCACTGGCACTCACATATGTCCACCTAGCTACAACACGTTACAGCAGAGGAAGAGAGAGAGAGAGAGAGAGAGAGAGAGAGAGAGAGAGAGAGAGAGAGAGAGAGAGAGAAGAGCAGTGGAGTGAGAGTAGAAATACAAAGGTAAGAGTTTTACTGAAGCTGAGATGATGAGGCACAGAGAGAGACTAATGGAGATGGAAAGACAGGGAGAGTGATGTAAATCTAGGTGTGAATGTTGTCAGTACTGGCATTCTGGAAAGGTGTTTGAGATCAGTCTGACACAGTGAGTATTAATGAACTCATACCCCAGAGACTTCTGAAGTGTCATTTTGTGGTCAGTATCATGCACAAATAAGCAATTCTAGGTCTAAGTTGGTTTTGCCTATGGAAAAATGAATGGTGTTTTCGAAAATTGCTGCTATACGCTGTGATGAACAAAAGTGCTCCATGCATTTTGTTTTTTCTAAAGCAAAAATGTTCCATGATCCTCTGATTTAAAAGGTCATTTAGCAGTCAAAATACAAATAATGCTTCATGTGTAGTACAAACAAGCCAGTCCTCTTGCACTGAATTTGCACGAAAGTAAATGTACCACTGAACTTTAATAAAATTATATAATAACATTAGCTGCTCAGTGTTTAGTCTACTCCCATAGCCAGTGAACTACCACTTTCTGCGTGGGATATTTTGCAAAGGTTGTCAGTCTTAAGAGTGTTAGCACTTGGCTACATTGGTATTTTCACCACTTAATGGCCTTATAATGTAAATGTAAAAAGGATAAAACATATGTTATTTTTGTTTATTACATGTATTTCATTGTTTTTTTTAAACTTCATTCATTTTCCCATAGAGAAAAAAAACAGCTTAAACCTGGAGACCCTTATTTGAGCAAGACGCTGACTACAAAATGACAACACATCCACAGTGGTCTCTTTCACCTAACCTGAACTCAATGAAAAGCACTAATATTGTCAGTTTTGAAGAAAAAAATATATTTACTTTAATCAGTAAATGTACTAAACATGAATTTGATCTACAACAGTCCATATTTACTCTTCAAAATGTTTAGTATTGGTCCAGAGTTCCAGTTTTGAAGTATAGCTATGAAAGAAAACCAGTCATCTCTTCTGACTGCAAAGTGCACAGACTCATTCACAAAAGCTTTTCAAAGAAAAGCTTACAAATTATGTTAAGGCAAAGCCAGACAATAAGCAGTTCCAGGGAAAAAAAACATTCTCTTTTAAATCTTCAGTAGCAGTGTATTCAGTTTTTCAGTCTAACATTATCCGTGACATTTTCTGGGGCAAGACTCTTTTTGAATTTTGAATTTTGCATCGTTTTACAATGCCCAGTTATCCACTTTCCCCCACTGTCTACTGAATTATGTTGTTGTATTCTGCTTAATTTTGCTGAAAAATGCTTTTTTGTTTCAGGTGAATCATTGCATGTATTTACAACTATCTGAGCAACAAAAATGAAAAAGCTTATGAAATGGTTAGACATATCTTGCAGTTCTCTAAATATTTATTTTATATTGATTTTAGTTAAACTTATTGGGTGAGACAGGCACCTTAATGCAAAGTATAAGCTATATTTAAATTAACTATGCTAACACTACTTGCTCTTGATAAATAAAAAAAATCAGACTGTCAGTTCTAGAATGCATCAAGAATTGTTTTATAATTGCACCCTGCCCTACTTATTGAAAATCAAATCCAGGTATGAGGTACCAAGATTCCTTCCCCTACTATGTATAGTGGACCTATAAGGCAGTTGAACCTCATTATGTAGCCAGTGATATACAGTCATATGCAAATCTTTTGTTGACACATCCTCTACAGAGAACTTAAAATTTTCTTTTGCTGAGTTTGGAAAAATATAATATAGTATAAATAGTTCCATAACATAATCTCTGGTTTGTTTTTTTTCTTTTTCTCTCTCACCTGCAGATTCTCCAGCCTCTCCTTAAGAGCCATCAGCATTCTTCCCATCTGTTCTGGAGTGGATGAGGGTGAAGGGGTCAGATCGCTGGTGGTGTGCTTATCACCCAGCGCTGCCTTTCCCCGGTGATGCCCATAGTGGCTGGGCTCTGTGGCATGGGTGCCGTGGTGACCACTATCAGGAGCATAGCCATGATGCCCACTGTCAGGCATGGGGGGGTAGGTGTGATGTGCCAGGTGAGGAGGCACGTGGTGGTGATCACTATCGTGGGTTCCCAGGGTGGTCCCGAAGCCCTGGCATAGGGTCAGCTTGGCAGTCAACTCACGGATGGTTTCTCTCTGGTCCAAGATTGTTTCCTTCTGCTGCACCAGGCTCTCCCGCAAGTGCAGGATCGTGGCCTTGGCCTCTTCTGACATGCCCCACCAGGCACTGCCGCTCATACCTGGCCCGCTGTGGTGCCCGCTGTGATGCCCATTCATGCTTGGCCCACCTGCTCCTGGGACAGCCCCAGAGGGGAAGCAGGCGGGGTCAGCATCGGCTGGAATGGGGGTGCATATGAAACGAGGGTGTGAAAGGTATTCAGTGTGCTCTGAACCTGGCATACCACTCCCAGCACACTCTGAAAGAAGGAGCAGCACATAGAGAATGAGAAGAGTGGTCCATGCATCCGTGCTTCTCTGAAGTCGAATTCGAGGGATGAACATTGAGTGAGTGAGCTTCATTTTGAGGTGTGGAGTGAGTGCTTGTCAAAGATATGGACGCAAAAAGGCACAGAGAGACCCCAATTAAGTGGTTGGCCACATGAGGGCTGAAGTTTGCAAGTATATTAATTAAGAAAAAAACATTGTCCAACTTCTTTTGTCAAAATGACTTCAGTGCACAGAGAAAATCAACAGGACAGACATTACAGATGAACCTCTCTGTTTTTCACAGTTCATTCACTTTTCTCCCGTCTGAGGTCAGCTACTGCAGTCAAACTGGTGTGTGTGTGCAGGTAATCCTTAGAACAGCTCTCAACAATACAAAACACCTGCAAAGACAGAGGGTTGAAATCCACATTTATTAATTTAGTAGGCGCTTTTTTCCAAAGTGACTTAGAAAATGTGCATACACTGAAACAAAGTGCTGATAATCTGTAAGGAAGACTCTCTCCCTCTCTCTCTCTGTCTAAGGACATTAAGCTCAATGTATGTTACAGCCTTTAGCTGTCAGACAGACAGATAAAGAAGGGCAGACAGTAAGACCTCTGCCTTAAACCTAAATCCGCTAAAGATCCATCATGCAACCATGCTTTCTGTCAGCTTTGTTTTTCTCCCTTTCTCTCAGAATAAAAACAAGACCCATGGTAACAATCATTTAGAATCATTTCATTTATTATTACACTTGCATGTACTGGGAATTTGTCACAAAGGGCATTGCAAACACAGCCTACATTGTCCACAGCGCAAACTAAATGTACAGGGCACAGTGTGTAAAGTATAACCAGGGTAAAATGTCAAATGCCATTGAATAAGCAACTAAGCCAACACTGATGACCCCCTCAGGGCATTAAAATGATTACAGCCACCTATGATAAAAGTGTATGTTAGGTGTGTGCTTGTACGTCAGGCGCTCTCCTAATAGGCTGCGTCATCAAGGGTCTCCCAAACGATTAGGATGTGATTATCTGTGTTTGTGTGGACTCTTAGCCTCTGGCTGTCCTTCAGCTGGCCCAGATTCAAAAGCTTTTACTGATTTGCTGTTGCTCTGCCTCTTGCTTTGAGTCTCAGTTGTGGAATTTTCTGTTCAATACTGCAGGCCCATTTATCAGTTATATCAATTTTAGCTAATGTAGCTAACAAGTAATAGAAGGTAATACATAACCAGTTATCATTGTGCAAACTACATGCTTAAATCATTAGATGCATGCCTCAAATATGTTCATATGTGTTTTATGACATATGTTATCTATAAAAATGGACAAAATTTATATTGCATAGCTAAATATAGTAGTAGTAGCCAAGTTGAAGTCTGAAATTTGTCCATACATGATTGAACATCAGCTTTGTACTTAGATAAATAAATGTGACGTGAGCCAAAAGAACACAAGATCCTTCGGGCGGCCTGCTACGACTAGGCCTCCTTTATTTGTATGCTTAAATGCTTACAAGCGCATACATGTGGCATATTAATTGGATTTAAAGATTAATTAGCTAAAGGATAGATGGATTGAGGATTTGAACAACATCTTCAGGGCCTACGCCACGCGAGCAAGAAGTTTAAGGTACTATAAACAGAACGATTGTGGCTGCATTAACAGTTTAAAAGGTTGTCACTGAACTCTGTGTTCTTGAACATGAAATTGGGTGAAAAGAGAAAAACAAATTAACATTTGACGAAGGGATTAAGATTGCACACCCACTTACCCATGGGGCGAAAAATGTCCACCTCATGACCTTCTGTTTCCACTTTCTTTCATAGGTCATAGATCAGAATTTATTTTTAAAAAGGTTGGGTATTTAAAGGAAGATGCTGTCAAATAAACATTGTATTATCACAGTATTTTGTCTGCATTATATACATAGACTGTATGAGATGATGTTTCTTTAATGTATAATGTGCGACAATTTACAAGTAATTCACAGGAAATCTGACAGTCGTGGCAGATGTGCTGGCCTTTATGTTATTCTGCAGTCCATGTGCAACTCTCACATATTTTAACATCCTTTAAAAAAAACCCAAACTTTGATATAATACACCTGTCCAGATCATCTTGAATCTTGATAGAAAAGCTACAGTGACCTTTAGTGTCTTGACAGTTTTGATGGACATCATGTGTGTCAACCCAGCTGGTCACCTGCAGATCAAAGCCTGAACTATCAAAAGTAACTCTCAAGAAGCATTACAGTATTTTACTGTACTTTTGCCAATATGGTTATAAGAAGGAGAACATAATAGAATATTTACATACAATCTTAATCTTACAGTGTGTCCAACGCTTCCACCCCTCCTTTGTGTACGTATGTATATGACAAAATTGTCCTAACATTGGGATAAGGTTAGACTTAGGGTTAGACTTAGGCCAGAACCATAGAAACATGTTTAGTGCATATATGATGTATTTACAGTTAACCAACATGCTTCAGCAAATCCTGTCAGTTATCGTTCTGATAAAGATAATATTTATTACAAATTTAACATGGATAAGAAAATTGCTATCACGTTAGCTGTTGCAGTGGTTACAGTCAGTGAACTCCAGCAAAATCTGATTCGATGCAGTTAGTTCTGTGTCCAACTAAACAGGCTCTAGATCTCACACAGGAGGGTGAAAAGTAGAGGTTTTGTTATTAATGGTAGCTATTTGTGAATGTGTGAAAATTCAACTGGTCTGGTGGTTTGTTAAAAGAGAAAAAAACGAGAAAATCTAAGAGACAAAAGAGATAAAAGAAAAGAGAAAAGAGAAAATCTCCAAAGAAGGCTCTGCATTTTTGCTGACCGAAAAGTGAAATGTTTTGGCCAGTGGCATCAGTCAGTATGCAGTGTTGACCCCTGCTTATAGACAGATGTATGCAAGAGTCTGGGCACCTCTGGTCAAATACCATGTTTTGTTGGTTTTCTAAGTGAAAATAAGTTACACATCCTCTACAGAGAACACACTTCTGCGCATTTCAATGCACAATTACTGCTGAATTTATCAAATTGGAAAATCAAAAGATAAAATGTTGCCTGTACAAAAGTTATGGAACATTTTATATTTTATGTTTTGTTTTTTTCCAATATGTTAAATTAAGTAGAATAAATAGATGGAAATTGTGCACTAAATTTTGTGGAAAATTGCCATATTTATTTTGTTCCCTGAAGCGCATGTTTTATCTTATTTTCAGAACATTAACAAAATGTAATTTGACCATGAATGTTTTATATATATGGGTCATACGTACAACCCCACATCCTTACATATGTGTAAACAACTTGCATATCTGTGTGTTAAACTACTTGGGAATGACATCCATATTGCTGAGGCGTTAGAGAGACAGATGGCTGAGGCAGTGAAGAGTGTCAGGGCTAGTTTCGACCCCCAGTCTCTCACTTCTGAGTTTATCTTGGTTGATCTTCCTTCCTGATCTGGCCTCTTAATGTGATCACTGTTTTGGACAGTCCTCACAGCTTTACAGCCTTTTCTGCTGAAGCTACTGAGCTCAGTCCAAAGAGGCAGATGGTCTGGCTCTGAACGTGAGCGTTACTGACAGGTGGATTAGGACAGTAATTAGCTCAGTGAAGTGTCCGTTCTTAAAAGAAAAAAGCACTGAGGCTTTTTAAGAAATGTCCTAACTGGTTAGGATCTTGTACAGTATAGAATTTTTGTGCAGGCACGTGTATTTTTTTATCTGCATGTAAAAAATTGCGGTGAATTCTATTTCAGTGTGCGTGCTTGTCCTTCTTTTCCATATATCGGTCAGAAGCAGGACAGACTGATTGTAATGACATCTACAGCTCCTATTGTTTACTCCAGGGTGACAATCCGCTTAGTCGACCCTTCATTTTCCAAACAACGGAAGGGGCCGGTCCTGCCTGATCATTTTTGATAGTTTTAGATGTTTGTGACCATTTCAGATAATTTTCACATCGATTCTGCTTATTTCTGATATTGTTTTTATAATTTCAGCTGATTTGTGGTAATTTCTGAATATCAGATAATTTCATTTCTAATTATTACATATTTATTTATGTATTTAACATATTTTATCATGTCAGGTCTTGGAAAATAACTTCAGATAATTGCACTCAAAACAAATGAGTATGAATAACCAGCAGAAAGCTTCCAAGGCAAGAACTTAGCAGCTGGAATTAAAGCAAAATGATGATAAGCACAGACTCACAAGCTGACAGCATAGCCACCACACAAAGACATTTTTCAGTTTCCCACCTCGTGGAACTCTAGTATATTTCTGGATTCTGACTCAAGTGAAATATTAGACCTAATTATACTGTTATTGGGAATTCTCCATTCAAATCTCTTGTAATAATAATAACTTTATTAATAAATAACACTACTTATAGAACAATTTGAATACCAGTGGCAGCTCAAAATGCTTTACAGACAAATGATAAAGTTCAACAGTTATAGAAGAAATTACAGTTAAGTACTGTTTAGTAACCATAAGTTATAATAAGTTATAATAAGTTAGGAGTGTTAATGTAAAATCACAAGAAGCACTGACATAAATCAAATGAAAACAATAAATACAAAAAGATAGGCAGAAACTGAATTATAAGCTAAATTTAAGAAAATTAAAATAAAAAAAATTGTGTCTCAAAAGTGTGTACCAAGTGTGTACCAAGCTTGGCCGCCTTATAAAAGGTACAATTGAGTTCCACAGTTTAAAAGCATAATGACAGAAAGAGGCCTCTCCACCTTTTCTGTAGTGACCGGACTATATTTGAAGAAGGTCTTAAAAAAAATTGTTTTAAAAAACTTAATGTCCACTTCAAACACAAACACTGCACACAGTTTAATGTCAAGCCAAACCCTGACACGCATAAGCTCTTAATAACACGAAGATAATAATAACATAATAATAGCATGACTCACAATCATACCCAGCAACCACTCGTATATTTAGCTAATGAAGATGCTTAAGGATATATTCAATGTTCAAGCTCAATTACGACAAAAAGAAAGAAAAAGAAAAACCTGCTCCACACTCATCAACTCCAGCAATGAATACCACTGCCACTGCTA